GAAAAATCGTACAATTTTCGAATATGAGTTTATGACAACCTGCGATAGAAAAAGGATCCTATAATACAATTGTAAGCATTCGTCTCAGTGGGTGGACCCGGGTACAGCACCTAGAGAGGTCGCCAAAAAAATATCACCCATAGGAACATGATGGTGACTGTCTGGTGGGCCAGTGTCAGACTTGTACATCACGGCTTCTTACAGAATTGCAAAACAGTGACGGTAGATGAATTGGCAAAAATTGCAAACAATGTTGGAGAAACAACGCGCGAGCTCACACTTCACTTCACTATCGCAAAGCAACAAAAGTTACAGCTGGAAGCTATTCGTAACCCACCGTACACATGAACCCCAACCCGATTTCTACTTTTTTTTAAATTTAGTCAATTTTTTAAGTGGAAAAAATTCAAAACTCAAGAGGCAGTACAAAACGCTTTCACTGACTTCATCGCCTTCCGTCCAGCAAACTTCCACAGTAAAGGTATAAACAAACCGCCATCAAAATGGTTAAATTGTTTAGATAATTTCATACAAATCTCCAACTTCATGGGTGTGTCAACCTCGTGGCATGCAAATACATCTGAAGATAAACTTTTTTTAAACATATTCTAAACATATAAAATTAACACGGAGAAAGAATATAATGTCCAAATTGATGTGTCCAAAAAGTAACAATAATTATGAGGGCAATTACATAGTGGACCATTTTTTCGCTTCTTGAGTCAAACTCACTAGATTATAAAGAGACAGAAATAAGAACAGAAAAGTATTTTGACTATGTTAGACATTTTTCTTCTAAGTGTTCATTAGCACTAGGATATTTTTGTAATAATAGGTATATACTTTAATTTTATTCACTCATGATATCTAATTTACAAATGTTAGCAGGAAGTTTCTTGTTAATCACAGACGACATACAAAATATGTTTATATTTTTCGATGTTTTGTTAGGAATGGTTTTTATTTTACATAAGTCAAGTTTATTTTATGTAGTATAGTGGTAATGGTAAAACTCTAGTGTATGAACTATATGAATGATATCCTTGTTGTTTATCACCTTAGCTAGGTGAGAACTACTATGACAAACATGCAGCAGGTAACATTTCATTATTTCATTCAGCATATGTTGTTATAAGGAAATTAAGCTTTATCTGGCAATTAACAAGAGCTCCCACACAACATGACAGCGTGAGAATATAAAGACAGGAAAAGCGCTTACGTTTTCTATTGAAACAATAATGATTAACAACATTCGTCACTACCATTTGTCGATAATATTTTGACACAGTTGTTTTCTGTTTGCAAACGTTACAATGTTTTTTCCATTACCTGAGCTAACGTTTGCTTCTTTCTTTTTATGAATTAAAACTTTTCGCTTCCGTAAATTTTGTTTTCAGTGGTTTAAAATAAAAAAGCAATATCTTTCAGCGCCGAGTGTTATACAAGACTATAGGTAAATACAATCAAAACCTAGGTAAAAACTAATAAGTATTTTTTAAAACTATCATCATGTAAGATTTAAGCCCTTTTACAAATAAATACCTCTGCTTTTGCGATATATATGTGATACAATATTGGAATTAATCATTTTACAAAAACTTATGAGGTTACCAGCTTTTATGCCCGCGACGTCGTCCGCGTGGTGGTCATCATGAGAAATCGTAGAGGATACGGGGGGGTTTGTAGTGGCAACACCATATACTCCAGGCTCCTATATTCCCAAGGAGCCGGAGATCCGGAGGGATTTTCCACCCCGTCACCAAAAAAAGGGGTAGGTTTGAACGTTTTTTATTACTTTAAATATAGTACTCATATATAATATATTTACTATGAGTTTGAAAACACTACTACCAAAAATAACACGAAGTTTCATTCAAATTCAAAACCCCCATTTTCATCCCTAGGGGTGGAATTCTTGAAAATCGTTTTTCTAATGCTCACCTGCGTCACCTAAGGAACATGTGTGCAAATTTCATGCTTCTAGACCCAGTGGTTTCAGTTGTGCATTGATCGATCAGATCAGCAGTGAATTTAAAAAGTGAATAGTTAGTCAGTTTCTCTTATATATAAAGGTAGATTATGGACTAATTTTAGTGTAAACGTGTATTTTTTACGATTTAGCTAGTCGTGATTTCTGATCCCTTAGGGCCAGCGCAAAAGGGACAAAACATCAGACAACTCTAAGGTTTGCAAGGTTCTCGCGTCCAGACCCACTCCCAACAACACCACTTAATCCGAATCACCCGGCCTGGTGGGATTGTTCTCACTTTTTCATATTGTTTTTATTATTATTGACCGTTTTTTCATTGCACTTTTAAAAAGAAACGTAGATGATGTGCATAATAAATTTTAAAAAGACTAAATATTTAGTAGTAGGAAAAGCTACACATCTCACACACTGCAGTCTGATCCCAAACTATGTAGAGCCTGTACTATGGTAACAAGACTGCTGATAACCATGTTTCTTAATACATACTTCTTTACATATATAACAGATTTATTTTTATTGTAAATTATTTGTAAATTGACTTGATTTTAAATGATAAATTATATTTATTTCTGAAAGTTAATCTTTTCAGATATGTTTACAAGTCAGACAAAACAATAATACTTGTCATTGAAATATTAAAATATGTTTAGGACGTCGTTATAAGTTTATCCTCTCCCATATATTACACAGGTGGCGCACTGAGTTAAGAGACCGCCTCGCTATTGCTCTACGAACACCAATGTATTTGATGGTTTTGTAAAATATTTTGAATCTAGGTACACTTCGTGTCTGTGCGGTCCATGGCCCTTTACGGGTGCCCGGTATGGGCGGGGGCCCTGAAGGCCAGCAACGTCGCGATACTGCGACGACCGCAGCGAATGCTGGCCATCAGGATCATAAGGGGGTACCGCACGATCTCCTTTGAGGCAGCGAGCCTCCTGGCCGGAACTCCACCGTGGGACCTGGAGGCGAGAGCCCTTGCGGCACTGTATCAGTGGCGCAAGGAGGCGCAGGAGTTGGGTCGATGCCCCGAGATTCCAGAAATCGATGACTGGAAATCCCAACTCCGCCAGGTCATCATAGGGGAGTGGAGGGAACGACTCGGGCAACCGAGCGCTGAGCACGCCGTCATTGCGGCGGTAAGACCCGTTATGGAGGATTGGCTCGAGAGGCGTCACGGGACCCTCTCATACCGATTGACGCAGGTGATCACTGGGAAGGGATGTTTCGGAGATCACCTGTGTCTGATCCGCAAGGAGCCAACGCCTGAGTGCCACCACTGCGATGGCCAGACCGTGGACACGGCTCTCCACACGCTGGCAGAGTGCCCGGCGTGGGTTGAGCAGAGGCGAGACCTCGTGGCGGCCATCGGAGTGGGAGTTCTCTCGCTCGATAGCCTGATTGCGGCTATCGTGCGGAGCGAGAGTGCGTGGAACTCTGCCGTCTCCTTCTGCGAGCAAGTTATGCTCGCGAAGGAGACGGCGGAGCGGGACCGGGAGAGGTTTAGAACTCTCCCGGCCCGCCAGGCCCGGGCACGGACCAGGCAGCGCAGGCGACTCAGGCGCCGGAGGTCGCAGAACGACCTCCGTCCTCCATAAGCGCAGGCCTGGGGGTGACAGGTGAGGCCATCTGTCACCCTAGCAGAAGCAGGCCGGGGTGGCGGCGAGCGCGTTGCGAAGCGCGCTCGCTTTCAGGGAGCACAGGGAACATGGGGTTCCCACACGGGGCGGGGGTCGTCTACTCGTCTGTAGATGACCCGAGGTATGTCGGGGCACCAGGGCCTTCCTTTCTAGGGTATACCTGGTTCCCCGGCTATTAGTACCCGGCGAAGGCGTGCGGTTTTAGTCGGTTCGAGTCCGACATGCCACCGACAGGTGGTATCCGAGGGGATTTCCGCACGGAAAAAAAAAAAAACAAAAGGTACACTTCGTGTCCGTTTACTTCTACCCATTTTGTAAATTCTGAAGATTTTTCCTTTAATGCAGGAGTCATTAAATGCATTAGATAAGGATTTGTTACCACACTTAACACAACTGACGAGCCCATCATAATACAGTTAAAAAGTTGGTCCCACATTATTATTATATTTAGTACTAGACTGCAGCTTCTAACAACTTGCCGCTTAAGCCATGTGCGCTTTTAGCCCTAGGCTAACAATGATATTGATTAAACGCTCATTAAAATGTGCATGTCTATAATAGACATACGAGTATCTTATACCGTTCACACTGTATGCGTCTGATATCTCTCAAAATGCGTGGTTTTTGCTAACTTAGTTGACAAATACCGTCATAACTTTAGGTAATTTGCCTAATAGACACATAATATAGTGCCTTTGTCCATAAGTGCAGTGGTTCCCCAGATTACCCCTGACATACACACAAACTCACAAAATTCGATAAATAAATATAAATACTATTATTATAAATATATTTCAAATGTAGTCTGCGCATTCTTCTCACGTAACGTTCTCAAATATGTTTCAATGACAAAACGCTATTGTTCTGTTATCTTTAAGTTTAAAGTAAGTGAACGTTAACCGACGATGTACAAAAGAAACATTGTGAAATCCTTACAAATAACAACAGTTGTCACGCTGTACTAGGTATTGGTACATATACTATTTAAATATTCTGGTATCTATAACAGTTGCTTTTATAATACAAACTTTAAACAAAAAATTGTGGCAGCCCTTAAGTTCTTTTTACGACGGTACATATACCGACAATAATTTTGCAAAAACGAACACAAAAACAAACCTTGGCTTATTGCCAGGGTTTGTTTTTATGTTAGTTGTTATTACATTAGTTAGTTATTACATTACACTGAATTTAAAATCAAAATCGAAATTCGTTAGTCGCAGCAAAATATTAATAAGACCTATGACCGCAAAACACTTATAACTTTTAAAATAAATTAAAAACACAGCACAACGTAAACTAAGTTCATAAAACGTGATTTATGAATGACCGTGATAGTAACTGTCCGAATGGGTGTCGGAAATACTCACCATTTCATAGGCGTACACGCAAGCGTCACAGGATACGAGGTCGAGACCTCTTCAATGAATTCTAAACGGTCCAATCAATTTACATCACTGACACATTCTCAACGCTTCGACGCCTACGCACGAGTTATCGCGGAGGCGCGCGGTCACCGACTGCGCCGCTCACCACCGTCCACCACACACGCGTTAGAAGTTCTTCCTCCATCACCTTCATCCTAACCAGAGAACTGGTTTCATTACCATATAGCATAAAAATAAATTCTAAAACATAATCGCGAACTGTCCAATACAAATACAGTCCATAAGTCATCCAAATTCCAAACGTCGGTAATGCTATTTTAAAACGCTACAAAATCGTTAAAAATATTGCAATACATATTTCAATTCCATAAAATATGATTATAGTTTTGCCACAGATGCATAAATAAAATCTTATTTACGAACCAACGCTATTAGAGCAATAAAGAGAACATCTTGTTGCTCATAAAGAGTGCAATAAACATTATGTCATAATTCGATCAATATCGACGAATAACGAAATAGCGTTCACACAAATTGGTCCCAAAACGTGAACTGAAATGTCATTTATTTTATTATTGTTCCACTACAACAGAATAATTCTTATCGATAATTTTAACCGTTAAGGATACAATATTTAATTATTGATATCCGATCATTTTGATGTGTAGGTACTTTATTTTTACGTTAAACATTGTTAAACTATTAAATAATAATAAGTCATTTATTTATTCAGAGTCCATAGTGATAGTATACAAATTTTGTTAATATATGTTATTAGTTTACAGTGTTACTATTTATTGTTTAACTCACTTCCATAAACATTGTAGAAGCAAAACAGTAACGGGGCAACCTTACTAGCATTATAAAGGTACTATTGTACTAAAAGCGTAATGCGTCAAGAGACCTCTGGGATAGCTGACCCATAAACTGCTCAGGTAGAAGGTTTGACAGTATGTTTTAAATAGTGTTATTTTGATTTCATCACTAGAACGAGCAAACCTACAGGCCAGCAAATTACCCCTAATCGCCATTACTCTGCGCTCCCGTTCAATGTCCCTTTGATCGTCAAGACCTTCACTGAGATAGCGACCAAGATATTTAAATTCATGAACCCTCTTCACTTCAACTTTATTTAGTTTTATAGGCGGCACTCTTGATGGTCAATTACCGCGTTAATATTCAAAGATAAAAATAGACAAACACAACAATAAAATTTTGGTAAATAATCAAAGCACTTCACGCATTTTTATTTTAGTATATTTGAAAGAATAAAAGTTTGAACCAAAGCTTCTTAGGTTGAACTAATGATGTAACAAAATGTGCTATGACCGAGAGGCGAGCGCAGTCGTCACATGCAGTTATGCGAGCTCTTATACAAGATCCTTTCCAATATCAGCTGTAAACACAAGTTAAGCAAAACACCGACCCAAATAGCTAGTCGCAATACTCGCAGTGAAATCGACATAACAGATTAGAAACAGAAGTTTAACTATTGAACTCATTTCTTTGTTGCCGAGCTTATTTAAACAAAACAAATTAATAGATTTTTTTAACTACATTATTATATATTGTTTGTATTATTTAGTCAAATAAGCATTAAATCCGTCTGAGCAGTTTCCGTATCCTATGTGAGTTTTCAACACGAGTGGTGTCCCTCACAAATCTTTTACATACACTTTACGAAGAACCTCTGTCTATTTCCTTTGGAAAATACTATCCCAAGTACATGTACCTATAGTATCTATGTTATGAATATCGTTCAACAATTTGAGCTCCACCGCAGAGGGTATTTGTCAAAGTACATGTTAGGCAAGCTCTCTGCTTTTGAAAATAAAGCCAATTGCTATCATTTTAGCCGGACCAGGACCACTTGCTACTTTTTTGTTTCTTTAAAGGCAAGTACTTTGTTTCTAACATATGTACACAAAATCACTTTCATAGATACCCAAATATGTTCTCCATGTACCTATTCCATTACATGTCGGACCGATTACGTTTTCGTTTGTCTTTCTGTTTATACTTATACGTTTAATATCTACACTCTTCTGAAGGTCGTATCTTTGTCGAAAGCGATGTTCACATGTAATAAAATTCGAATAACTAATTTATTTAAAATTTTTGGTCCGTGGTGAAGATAGTCCGTGGTGAAAATAGTTACATCAGTGTTATTTAAGATACGTAAACAATTTGTAACATACATAACATACATAACAAATTGTAACTATACAGCTAATTAGGTCATAATAATAAGCTCTTAATAAGCTCCTGTGATAACTATAAAACTCTGACGACTTGAGAAAATAACAATATTACTTATTGTACTTATTAGCTTTGCCAATGTATTTCGAGATCGGGAAATACCGCTCGTTTTCAATCCACGTTTTTCGCTTGTTTTCAATGGTACTTACGGTAGAGGTGAAAGTTAAAATCAAGGTACAGATTGCCTATTTAAAGTCATAGTCATAAAAGTTCATCGTTCAGTTGTGGTTGCGGTTCTTAACAAGATTCACACGACATGTTAGTCGTTGACAAAGTGGGCGGCTGTATGTAAATAGTATTTATTATGAGTCACGGTTTTAACAATAGCCGAGATCGACGTATGTTTAAGCCGGCTAACGTTAGAAACGACACAGAACGAACGAACAAACGAACATACAGAATCTCATGCAGATCAGAGGTGTGTTATCTAATTCATATTACGTATACATAACGATACAAAAGTGGTGTGCTGATCCGTTAAGGTGATGATTAGTTAAGGTGTTTAAAAAGGGGAATTAATATAAACATGTATCACGTGCAAAATCATACATAAAGATTCATTAGCGGATGACGTTTTGTCTTCTCTACCTACCACAGATGGCAATGAGGCGTTAATTTATTATAGAAATTCAAACATGTTCGCCAAGTTGAATCAGAACTAACGGTTTTTATACTAATATGGCCCACATTCGTATTGCTTTTTTTCCTTATAAAAGAATCAACAAAATGACTCACAAAACTTAACTCTTATAACAGTGTTACCTACACTGTTGTAAGAGTTAAGTTTAAGAATACGAGGGTAGTCTGAAAAACTTCCGACCTAACAAAGATACAAGACCTTTTTCAGTTTTTTTTTTTACTTTTTAACATAATCTTCTACTAAACCCTACACACTTCTCCCAGCTATGCTCCCATCTCTGTAACAAGTCCAAATAGTACTCGGCGTTTTTCTCTGCAAAATAATTGTTCACGAAGGTGATTGCCTCTTCATTGGACGAAAATCTCGGTCAACCAAGCGCAATTTTTGGCTGGGGGCTAGCCCCCAGCCAAAAATTGGTGAGTAAGGCGGATGGTCAAGCAGTACAAACCGTAATTCGTGGATTTTTGCCATGGCAACCGCTGAGGTGTGAGACGGTGTGTTGTCTTGGTGAAACAGGATTTTCTTTTTTCTACAAATGTTTCCGTTTTTCCTCAAGTTCTGCCTTCAGCTTGTCAAGTAACGATGCGTAGTATGCTCCTGTAATAGTTTTTCCTTTTTGGAGATAATCGATTAAAATAACACCCTGACTATCCCAAAAAACAGTCGCCATCACTTTCCTAGCCTAAAAAAGGTTTTGGCTTTATTGGAGCCTTTGCAGTCCGCTGTTTGGACTGTATTTCTATTTCGGGCGTATAATGGTGTAGCCAAGTTTCATCTACAGTAATAATTCTGCGCCAAAACTCGGGTTGTGACTAACACGTTCTTTTGACATGTTCATAATCTCTGCTATCTCTCTCACTTTAATTCGGCGGTTGTCTAGCACCATTTGATGAACTTTGGCGATGTTTTCGTCGGTAGTTGCAGTTTTAGGACGTCCCGAACATTCATCGTCTCCCAAGCTCTTACGGCCCCGTTTAAATTCAGCTGCCCAAAATTTCACTATGGTAAATGATGGTGCGAAGTTCCGATACACAGAATCCAACTCATATTTGATTTGCGTAGGCGTATTGCATTTCAAAAACAACTATTTAATGACAGCTCGATACTCGATTTTGTCCATTTTCATAAAACACTCACATCAACTCACTCAAACGACTGTTACATAACAACTGCGCGTCCAAAATGGCTAAAACTTTGGCGAGTAACTGTCAACAGATGAACAACGAAATTCCCTAGCTTTTATTCACGAGTGTTGCCATCTTCGTGTTGAAGTCGGAAACTTTTCATACCACCTGTATATGTTATTTTATTGTCAGCAATATTAACAGTAAGTATTTGTAAATTTAATTAAGATAATGAATAAAACAGTGGACGTAATAATAGAAAATAAAAGAAAAGAAAACAATAAAAAATATATGTTTGAACGCTTTATATGTTATCCGCTATTTGAAAGTGTTAGTTAAAAACTTAGTTAAAAAAAAATATTAAGGATCTAGGAACTAGGTGTCTGTGATAAATCTAAACAAAACACCACAGACAACGACGAAAGTTTCTAATGCCACCTTTTAATTTGTTTACTATCTACGCGATCTTTATCTGACTAAAGTTATTAAACAGTACGTGTCTAAGTCTAACGGTAAGGAATTTAAATTTGCAATCAATGCATCTCTGACTAGCGATTTAAATTCCAGTGCGTACATCCAACGTGATCCCAGCAGGAGTCGCGCTTTATAAGAGGTTTCGAACAAGCAGAAATATTTGATGGTAGATCACAAAATCGATAATTCATTAAACGTTATTTACTTATCAGAACTACGCACACTATTAGTGTTATATTGAAATAAATACTCATATCAAATCAATACGTTTTTGGTTTCAACATTTTCATTCTGGAAATTTCGACCTTCAAAACCAACCCCGTGGACGGCCGGACACCAAAGTGGAAAATGAAGAATTAAAGGCGATTGTAGAGCGGATCCATCACAAAGCACTTTAGAGATAGCTGCAGGCTTCGGGGTAAATGATAAAACTGTAGTAATCCACTTGAAGCAAATCGGGAAAGTAAAAAAAACTTGAACGATGGGTAGCTCATGAATTGAGTGAATCGAACACAAAGTAACACGTCGTCTGCCGTGTTCCTTTGCTCAACCGACACAATAATGAAGGGATTTTAAATCGAATCATTACTTGTGATGAAAAGTGGATACTGTACGATAATTGGAAGCGCTCGTCGCAATGGCTGAACCCTGGAGACCCACCCAAATCCTGCCCTAAACGAAAATTGACCCAGAAAAAGTTACTTGTGAGTGTTTGGTGGACTAGCGCCGGTGTCGTTCGCTACAGCTTTCTAAAATCTGGCCAAACGATTACGGCAGATATTTATTGAAGCAGCAGTACGGCAGATATCTGAAGAACTAGCTGCTAAACCACCGAGAATCGCTTTAGGCCACTGCTGCTTCACGACAACGCAAGACCACACACTGCACAACAAACAACCACTCAGTTAGATGGGCTACAATTGGAATGTCTGCGATATCCACAGTACTCCCCGGACCTTGCGCCAACAAATTACCATTTTTTCTAGAATTTCGACAACTTCTTACAAGGAAAAAAATTCAACTCCGATGCGGCAGTCCAAACCGCCTTCAAAGAGTTTATTGATTCTCGCCCCCATGATTTTTTTTGTAAAGGGATCAATGAACTACCTATGAGATAGCAAAAGTTCATAGATAACAACGGTGCATACTTTAATTATTTAAACATATTTTACAAAAAAAAAATGACTTTATATTCCACTATCGCAGTCCACTGCTGGGCATAGGCCTCTCGCTATGCACTTCGATCTATTTTCGGCTTGTCGCATCTAACTCAAAAAGCATACTACTTACTATAAATTGTAGATATTTTGTCAAATGTATTAGAAATAAATACCATGTACAACACGACACTCTTACTGTAAATCCAATCTTGGTTCTGAATTAAATCCATTTGTGTCGTATTTAAACTTTTACAAATACATTGTACGCCTCTTCAACAGTACCTACCCAACACAAACAAAAAAAGTAACTTTCTGTTATATTGACGGACTTCCGTATCTGTAATATCATTCATCTTGCCTTGATTATGCTAATGTATGCTATGCAGATGCTGAGTCTTTATTATATCAAGTAGGAGCCAAGGTTTACTATTGATTGCACTGGCGTCTTCCTCAAAACTTACTACTACCATAGAATAGTAAATGAATACTAATCCTTTTATATCAGCGTTATTACCATTTATAAGTAGGGTAACAATTACAATTAGGTAGGTATGTCGTTTCTTCTCGACCATCGACAGAAAGATATTCAAATAAGCAATGAAAACTAAATCCTTTTAAAAAAAGTTGAACCGACTTCAAACAATACTGACAAAGTGCACTAAAAATTTAAAAACAATTACAAATCTAAGTAAAAAAACTATAATATGTAAGTACCCTCAATATAACAGGTAACATTATAATAGCCATATTCCATTCTGTTTGAAGTCGGTGCCAAGCCAAATATGTGCTTGATAGGCTTGGTAGAATGTAGCGCGGCAGCTGCAGCAGTCTTCATGCTGCGCAAAACATGCTGAACGAGTTAAAGGGTTAGGCACATCTCCATAATGATATTATTATTTTGAATGCTTTATTAAGTAGTTGATAAGTTTGCGCACGTAATTGATCTGGTTGGTCTTTATTAATTAACAAAACCTGCGATATTTCATTAGAATTATATTTAATTCTTATTTTTTTATTGTGCTAATATAAATCTGACATAGACCCGTATTAGTTATTGTGCATCGGAGGTAACAAACATGAAAATAATTGCGTAAGAAACCTTTTTCTTTGTCTAAATGTTTTGTAATCTTATATAATAGGTCTTTACCTATGAAATTGCCGTTTTGTATGCAATAAGTGAAAGTACTTATTTTTTTTAATTTTTTTATTTCTGTTATTCGAAGTAATCACCCATGCAATCGACGCATCTTTGCCAATGCATTGGCAGTTTATTGATGCCCTTCTTGTAAAAATCAGCTGGACGGGAGGCAACAAACTCTTCAAAGGCATTTTGTACTGCCTCTCGGGAATTGAATTTTTTACCCACTAAAAAGTTGTCTAAATTTTGGAAAAAGTAATAGTCGGTAGGTGCAAGGTCTGGTGGTCACATCTGCAACCAGCTTTGGTCAATCGGTCGTCCCCACTGCTCCTTCACGGCAACGCGCGACCCCATACTGCGCAACAGACAGTCTCCAAGTTGCAAGAGCTGGGGTTGGAAGCTCTCCCTCATCCGCCATACTCACCAAACCTTGCACCTACCGACTATTACCTTTAACAGAAATAAAAAAGTTTGAAAAAATAAGTACTTTCACTTATTGCATACAAAACGGCAACTTTATAGGTAAACACCTAATATTACTCTTTTGTGCACATATCTCTGTAACCCAACACAAACACTTACAAATATCTTAAAAAAAAAAGGTCAATACATGATTAGATTTTTGAAAGAGTTATCCTCTAACTCCTCAAGGACCCTTCCATCATCAGCTCAGCAACATGACATAACGACTACTAAACGCAAATACCTATATAGCTAAACAAACAAGCTAAAACACGTTGTCGGGCCTATAAAATTTGAGAGCTTCCCTCGGTTTCTCTAAGATCCCACCATCAGATCCTGATTTAGTGGTTATGGGACCACCTCGGGAGCATATCGTTTCGATTACAAAAGGAATATTGAAAATCGGTCCACAATTGACGGAGATATCTTTTTTTTATGGTATAGGGGGGCAAACGAGCACACGGTGAAGTAACTACCGCCGCCCATGGACACCTGCAACTCAAAAGTCACAGGTGCGTTGCTGCCCTTGGAGCCCCTATCGTCCGAGTCAGCGGGAGGGCGGGATTTGGGCTCCGGTAACCTCACCTAAATAATAAAAAAAAGGCAACGTAATAATTGCTTAACACCGGTTTTCTGTGAGGCCTTGGTATCACTCCATATCGCGTAACAAACATACAAAAAAAATACAGAGGATTTGACAACTTCCTCTTTTGTGTTTTTGAAGTCGGTTAATAACCACATACTCGTACCAGAGCCTTTATTCAATACAAACAAAGATAAAACTTTAAACGGAATTAAATCCAAAGCATTACCTTGCCGTAATACATATTAATACATATGCAAGAATTACTTACTTACTACACTTACTTTCATTAGATTTGAAAAATGCCTTTTAAGGGTTCTGAAACCGTTATAGGCTACATCTATGATTTTATGGATTTGCTTTTAAGTTTATACATAAATTCCTAAACATTCTGTTGTGATATTAGAGCCTTTCCTGAAAAGTATCGATATTGTAGTTAAACGAAGCTCGGTTGCCCAGAAATTATTATATAACCTCCATATATACAGTACCTGTGTGCCTTGCAGGCTTAGGCAAACCAGACATCGAGTGATAAGTAAAGACATGTGACAAGTAAAGAGATGAAAGTAAATAGAAATGCCTCAGCGAAGAATACGCTGAGGCAATTCTAAACAATAAACAAGCCTTACTACACTCCAGTACTCCATAATTATTAATCCTAAGAAATAGAAATGATAAGATGATGTAAATTTCTATAAATAATATTTATTTAAAAGAATCCTTCGTAACATTTTTGCTTTTTAATATGATAACAGTAGCAGTAACAAAAGTGTTTTGTACTGTATTATATATTTACAAACGCTAGATAACAATATATTACACGTAAACTAAAGAATAAGCGCCTCATGGTCACTATCCATAGCACTTAAAATAATGCTATCACATTTGGAGAGTAAATTCGGTAAAATTTCAGACTGATTAGGGGTTGAAACAGTAACGTTTGATATAATTGGTCAACGGCAACAATAAATACTAAAATATAATTTACTTCATTAAGACGTAGAAAAAAGAAATTTATGTTATAGCAACCCGTTTACAACTTGTTATGTTTTTAACCAATTATGTTTAAAACTTTTCATACCTAAACAATTTTGGTATTTAATAATACGGTTGCTTTTAATAGATGCATAAATAATTAAATTTAAAAAGTTACGACGTTACAGACGAGTAGATCTCGGCTTTAATATTCTTTTTAATTGTTCAACTACATATGCCCTTTTTAAAATGAATTTTAAATGATTTCTTCTGCTAAAGTTAATAGACGTTGGACGTAATGACCCATGATTATCTAAGTTTGACATTTGCAATATTACTCGAATGAATTATCGACAAGAGAAACAGTGTATGCGTTTACATTTTAACAATCATTTCAAATATAGATGCAAATGTATGTAAATTCAACTAAATTAAGAATTTATTTAGAAAAAAAAAAATTATGTATATTTGTAAGACAAACACATAATGTATAATTAACCTATCCTTCAATTGTTTTTCAATCGTTTTGAGTGAGGTAAAAAAATAAATTTAATAATATGAAAGAATTTAATTATAACATAATTACTATAGTTTTAGACAACTAGTCCAGTAGCGATCCATAGCATTGTATCTGTGGAGATTTACTCCGGTCAAACTGTGAGCTTCATCAGGGTATGACTGCAAAAGAAATAGAGCGTGTAAATTTTGTATTAGGTTTTACCTTTTATTTGTACATGAGGGTACTTTAATACTGTGTGTATTCTCAAAACTAAGTTACAAGTTTAAATAAATAACAACTTCCATGAGTTGTATTCGTACTTAGATTTTACTCAGGGTTTATACACACTTTACAATGGAAACTCAAAAGCCCAACGCAAGGTCCGAAATTCAAACCCAAAAGTCTTTCCTCCTTTAAAAGTAGAGAATCAGCTAAACCAATAATAGTGAAACTTCAATCACATGTGATAGAAGTTAAAAAGATATATAATTTATTTAAATTATGGATATGAAACTGCTATATGAAACAGTTTTAACTACTTCAAGTTGGTACACAAGACCTTTTTAGTTATAAGTTAAATAGAAAATAATGTTAAACAACACTATGTTAAAAAAACTACAATTTGTTTTTAAGAAGGACCCCAACAAACCCAAATTGATTTTATCAGAAAAGGCCCAGCTATATAAAGAACTATTTTAAAGATTAACGTAATAATATTTCGGTCATCTTACGCACAACGCCATCTAGTTTCAAACTAATCAGAGCTTGTACTATGAAAGCTAGATTGACTGATAGAATACTTATATACTTTTTGTGAATACATACATTGAAAACACCCAAACCTCGAAACAAATATTTGCAGAGCATACAAACATATGGGAATCGAACCCGAGACCGCAGAACAGGAGTCGAATGCGCTAACACTGCGCCACTGAGGCAGCTAAACATAGTTTAAATTCTTCAAGCTTATTGATAAAGAGGGCTTAAACTGCTCTAAAACAAAAAAGAAAATACAAGTTACTAACCATTTGCTGGAACGGAATGTTCTTCTCCTGAAGCACACGCATGAGTTTCGCTGCATTTTGGTAATGAACATTGTCGTCAGCGTTACCATGCATAATATAGACGTCATGTCCTCGAAGTTTTTCTGCCAATAATGTGACGTCACCTGCTTCGTACCCTTTTAAATTATCCTCCTCTGTAGGTAGGCCCATATAGCGTTCCGTGTACATTGTATCTGTTAGAAATAGTAAAATATAAAGATGTGTAAAATTCTTTTTAGAAAGAAAACTAGAATTCACACATTACAAATAGAATACTAGCGTTAACCTCTTCACCTATTCGCTCCCAATGGACCGGTTGTGAATTACCAATTCTGCCTGTGCTTAGAGTGATTTTTCTTAATAGACATAACAAGTTCGTTTCCTCACATTAGCAGAAATATCTAATCTGAGAATCGCAACTTACTCATTTCTATTGAAAACGTTAGAAGGCATAAAACTTTACCACCGTTTCCAGTTTTTCGAAATTGTACGGAATTGCTCCATTAACTATCGATGATCATCTAATATCGGAGCACGTGTACAAGTACTTACTGAGAAGTTTTTAGATGTTGTTTTTCTGTCTTGTCTTTATGATACATTGTTGTATAATAGCCCTTTTTACATAATGCTAATGACACAGTGAAAGTGTATTACGCAGTATCTACCTCACAAATTTAAATTTCTTAACGTTATTAAAAAAAGAAGCTTATTTACTTTCGTATCATTAGTCAAATGTTAATTCTAAATCCGATATCATTATACTTTTAAATATAATGAAACTAAAAAGTTTACGTTTGATAATAGATAAATAAATAATACCTAAATTAAACCTTAATATTTCTCAATAAATACATACATATTATACATAAATTATACCAAGACACAGAACAAATGATCGTGTTTTATTACACAATTATTTGTCCTGGGTGAGAATCGAACCCACGAGCAGTCAGGCTAGACCACTAGACAAACCAGCCCGTCACGTAACGGTACTAGGATAAAAATTGTCGACATTATGTATAATTGACTCCACTTCGATACTTACTATAGTAAATCCAGGAAGTAACAGGTGCACCAGAGACACCACACTGAAGCATATGATCATCGTCATGTATAAGGGAGAGCAGAGTTGCATACCCTCCATAACTATGACCCCACATTCCGACTTTGCTACTGTCTATGAACTGGTGACGTTGCAGCACTTGCCTGAAACAAATGTAAGGTTCAAAACATTGGAAGACATTAATTTACATACAGAGAGACATAATACATTACACTACCTGTAATATTTTATATTTATAAAAGCTACAAATCGAATTTCTTGAAGATATCTATTTGTCCGACAGTTTCGAACCCCACGGAGGTCCTTCAGGAAAAGTCAAAACGATTTTGTACACCTTAGTTTATACACACGTGAGTTAAACCGAATATTTAAACTGTAATAATGTTGTGCTAAAGTGTTAGTGTTAGTGTAAGAAGTGTATATCATTAAGCTATGTGATATGTGCAAAGAAAACTGCTAATATCTCAGCTCATCTCAGTATCTATCAATTTATCGGTGTTCGTTTTTACGCTAACATTTAATATTATTTAATATTTGGTGTTCACTTTATTGGTGTCAAGTATCTACTTACTAGCAAAAAGCGATGCTTTGAAAGAGCTCGCCAACTTTTCGCGATTGATAATTACTTACTCCTTATTTATTTGTTCTTTACCAAAACAAATCGGCGTATTGTTAACTAAACATTCTGTTTACAGTGCTATTAATTCTTTGGTGGCTGATGGCGATAGTAGTAACAATCGAATTGATAAAAATATTACACATGTATTATTGATTTTATAATTATCAACAGATGGCGTTAGTAGCATGGTAAAATTAAAATTGTTGCCTTCAGTTTTTTTTTAAATGTGTGTAAAAGAATATTTTTATGATAGATAACATCTAGACATGAATCGAAATCACTGTGCCAAAGCCCAAACCTGGCAGTGTAACATTTTCTCAGTAAAGTGTACCACCAAAATGCATAGATTGTGAGATAGGGTTTGGTTAGGTTGATTAAGAGGTGGTAATTGTTTTCATGAATGTGTTTTTTTTTTTTTATTATGATCCCAGGTGAAAAATGGTTGTGAGGCCCAAGCACACGTAGAATTTGACACCTTATTCACTCTGCTATGTCACGTTACGAGATTTTAATACTTCTTTCTCTGAATAATCTAAATTCAGAAAGACAGGTTAATGTTAATAGATATTGTAAAGCCGATACGACTCTCTAGTAAAATTATTATTTGAAGGTTATGTTTGTGAATTATGATTTCATTAGATATACTTGTACTTTGCTTAAACATTTTTCTATTAAAACAAAATTTAAAGCAAATTCCTAATTATACTTTGGCTAGAAAGTACAATTAAATAAGCTTATAATTCGTAAAAGAAATTGACTTTGATTTTCATTAAACCATTTTCTCTCTCTTTGTTTTTTCTATGCAGTTCGTCGAAATATCTATAAAAATTTATGTCTTTGAAAACTTACATAGGTGAACCGTGTATAGATATATTAATTCTTCATAGCAGATAGCGATATCGATATACTTAAGCAATTTCAATTCATATGGTACAACTAGCTTTTGCCTGCGGCCCCGCCCGCATGTATGTTGGTTATCACTTTAAATAGTAGCCTATGTCCTTCCTCAAGAATCAACATATCTCCCAAATTTCATCTAAATCGGTTCAACGGTTATTGATTACCCAAACAAACTTCTACTCCCCTTTTCACCCCCATAAAGGACGGATTCTTGGATAAAAACCAGCTTGTGTCCTTTCCCGGGACTCGAAGTATCTCTATCCTAAATTTGATATAAATCGATCAAGCGGTTCAACCGTGAAGACATAACAGACAGACACATTTTCGCATTTATAATATTAGTATAGATATGGATTGGGTTGTACAACATTCAAGGCGCTACGATGCGGAGCGTTAAATTTATTATCATTGTTACATTCGTTAATTATCGCCCGTGTATTCATTTCTCTAACACGCATCAAGCGGTCTTTCCTCTAAAAATTATAGTATTTTTTGGACTTTCAGCTAATTTTACTCTACGTGCTTATCTTTGAAATAAAGAAAAAACGATTAAAATCATGGTTATGAAGAGGTGCAAATACCGTGTTATGGAACCGCCTTTAAGTACGATAGGATTGGCAATGTTGTGATACTTTTTATGGCTGTTGCAACTGATAACCAACCACAATCATGATAGATGGATGTTTGTTTACTTATTTTAATTATAAGACTAAAATAAACATTTGAATTTGTCAGAAAATTTAAATATACGAATACGGCCGTTCTGGCTGAATACGGCTCCAATAGAGACCTGAGCAAACTACATTCACTACTGCAAATGATTTTAGAGATTATTTACTATCTCCTCGCTGCATCGTCTAATGTCAAACAGAGTTTACAGCAGAGCTATTTGAAAGGCAATTATCCAAGATGCATCAAAAAGATTTATAGCTAAATCGCTCTTCACCTACCGTTCTATGTTTTAGCCAAAATTTTAAGTTACTTTTTACTAAGCAGATTTTCCGAACGATTATGTAATTCACTCATAATCTAAATGATGCCACACAAACTGGTTTTACGAACACGTATCGATATAGTCTATGCATATTGGCTCCAAAGTATATTTTATTTTAAATATACATACTTACTTATAATTTTGTTTCTATTTTTTTTCTATTTATTTATTTATTTGGTCAGCCAACGATTATTACACTAAATTTTACAGAATTAACTTAAAGACCAAACTAGTGTGAGTGCAATAATCACTTACAGACTAACAGTACATGCACTTAAAATAACGGTTTTACAAGTTTAAAATAAAATAGGAGATAGGAAAATAATTAATTTAACAAGATTTAAAACAAACATAACAATAAAATAACTATTAATTAATTAGCAATAAAATAAAATAAAATAAATTCTGTTTTTTTAATGTAGTAAAAGAAAATATTAAAATAACAATTCAGAAAAAGTTCAATAAAATGATTTACAATTCATTCAAAATGATTATACTTGAGTTATTCAAGTTAGTTTGAAAAGTTAAAATTATGTAACAAGTATTTTAAATCGATATAATCCGACAAAACGAATTATATGTAAACCGTGGCTTAATCATTACATTGCGGAATGTGTCAGATGAGGCAATCTGTCACAAAAAGAAAGGTCCGAGCATCTTAATAAAAGCTGAGCGCTTTTAGCCGGTACAATTCTAATTCACCGCCTGATGGGATGACAGCCCATGGGGGTTCTGACACGGAATAAAAAGTTCCAGTAAAGGAATGACAACTCAAATTTGGAGCATTTCATTATCAAAAATTTAGTAACGTCATTTAGTAGCTATTAATAATTATTATATAATATGGGCGATAGAGATATGCGGGAGGCGCCGATGAGTTGCTTGCCTAGGGCGCTCTTAATACTTAATACGCCTCTGACAGAAGATTTTGCACAACAGAAATCTAGAAAGAAAACATTGTCGTAATCGTAACCGATTAAAACCATATTTTCAAACCTGTTTATCTAATTAATACCTGTATTTATATCTGTTTATCTATGTATACCTATCTAGTTATTTTGTTTTACTGTCCTACAGGGCCCCAAATTCTTGTGTGCCCGGGCCCCGGTATGGCCTAAGTAGGTAGGCCTTGATTGTAATATGTCGTGGAACGTGAAATTTTTAAAGATAGTAATGTAGTCTACCTCTTAAAAATAATTGCAGTAGATATTCCAAATATAATATTTGTGTTGGTTTAAGTAAGCGATGTAAAATTTGCATGCCTGCGCGCAAAATACATATTTCGAATGTACCTTCTTTAAGAATATATTTATTTACTTTAACTGCATTTCAGTTTTATATTTAAGTATTAATCACTCATTATAATTTTATAAAGTTATGTGGTACAGACGCGTAGTAGCTTTCTTTCGGGAAAACCAAGATTGTTGGACCATATAGGAGATAGCGTTAGGATGGCAAAACTAGCACTGATATTGTCGTGTTTTTGTAAGTGAGCAGAATATACGTGGAAACCTTATTAGATAATAAAGGCTACACGACTTGTGATAGAATGTTTTTTAGTAGACGATTAACTTTGGAAGGCGTTTGTTAAGTCACATTAGTTGTATTCAAAAAGTATATGAAACAAAATATTAAAAACTTACCTGAGTATGACGAAGTGGTCTTCAATCTCAACAGTACCTAGTGCGTTGTTCAACGAAAAAAGTAAATCTTTGCCCTTTAAACCAGAGCCGCGTCCGTCCGCAAACATATAGATTATGTTTCGGCTCGTAGTCAGGTAAGAGTGGTAACCTAAAATATGAGTATTATTGATTCTTCATAAAATCTTCGTAGGTAAATGTTTGTAGTTTAAATGCTATCTTTTAAAATTCATTAGTCTTGAACATTATTTTTAGCGCGCAATATACCTAATCGTTTAGATTTGAGACGGACATTAAAACCAGAAAATTAAGTACCCAAATAACTTCTGGCACCAAAATATTAAAAAGAAATTAAAAAAAATGCTAGATAATATTAAACTAAACAAAAATACTCACCAACTGTAAATGTATTGTATACAGTATTTGTGTTAGGTCCAGAATACACATAGAACACCATAGGATAAGTCGTGTTGGTATCGTTAACATCAAGACCCGGAGGTAAGAATAGTCTGTAGGGGACTTGAAAGCCGTTCTGAAGGGGTACTGTGTCGATGATGCTGCCCCAACGAGCTTTGCCCACGAGGCGATCGCGGACGACCGTATTATCCTCCCAGATGGCCAGTACTGAGATTGCCTAGACATGTATATAAATAGTAATTAGTAGTGGTACAATTTAGAATTTAACTTTTACGCGGTATCGCTATTTCTAAAGGAGTAGGGTATATTTAGGATACGATCTAATTTACATTAATCGAAAGCAGGCATATGAAAATGGTATTGTGCGTTGGAAATTAAGAGGTGGAGTTTATGGTCGAGATCTAAATTCCGATTAGTACACAATTGATGAAAGTGGTTGGCAGCGGATGAATGAGGACTGCAAAACCTTCAATCACCAGTGGACGGGGATAGGCTGATGATGACACATGGGAGGGATTTATATGGCTGATACTGATGGATCAGGGAATGTGAGCAAAATATCAAACAAAAACCAAAAAGAAAAACTCACAACAGGATCTAAAATGAAAGTAGCCGAAGGTTCCTCGGGCGATGTACATGTGATTGTCATGTAGCGGCCTTCAAAACTCAGGGTAGCTGTGGCCCAGGCACATGGGCCTCCCTGAGGCATTACTAGATTACAGCTCAAGCAACCTGTGTTAGCGCCTGCTACGTGAACTTCTGACTCCCACGGTTTATCAGTCACTGTACGAGTGTAATAACTGAAATGAATAACGTCATTTAAGAGATAAAATTTATGATTTTATTGATACCTGGACAGGTACATCCTTCTGGGAGACGACGTACATTACCATGAATTTTAAAAACAGACAAATACCTACAGACATTCTTAATTACGAATAAAATTTACGCAAGTTTAATTACTCGAAAATTACTCGAACTAATCGCACTAAAACGTCCATGCTAGTTAACCGTACTCGGATGAACAAGGAACGCTGCAACGAATATTCAGCCATCATTAAACAACCAACTTATTCATCCTAAAGTAACGATGATCACTGGTCAACAACAGTATCAAATAAATTTGCATCCATTAAGTCTTGCATCAAGGGACACCGATTTTAAACTTCGAAACTAAAGTGATTTTATCGATTATGAGTTCATAGTAGATGCATCATGCGAATTGTCAAATTTTTTTTCTGAATTCTCTCTGTATTGTTATGCCCTACATTTTCTGCAAAGTCATGTGTCTATCACGGATTTACTACTTCATGACGAGTAACTATAGATCCATAAACAAAAAGGTACAGTTTTTATAAGATTTGTGTTTGCATAATATTATAGATCAGTAATTTCTATGGAATTGGAGAAAAGGTTACAAAAACAGATACATTAAATCATTACTCACTAACGAACATTCGTCTCATCCATGCCAATGTAATTGTTTACAGTGAAAGCACCAGGAGTGATGGAGTTAGACACAATTTGTCCGCCGATCCTCATACTTATGTATAAGTGCTGCCAGGCCAGATCGTCAGCCTGTCGCAGAGACCAGCGTGTGGATAGGAAGAAGTCACCGCTTCGACTGAAGAAAGGCAAAGCTAATGGGATCCAACCTTCCGGCTCTTCACGGTGCTCCTCCTGCAATGAGTGTAGTTTATAGTTTATGCGTCTTTAGTATAAGTCTAGAGTAGTAAAGATACAGTGGGATGCTGAAATGCATGGACATTCCGAAACGAAAATAGAAAGAACTGATAATCAACGCCATCTGATGGCATCTTTATCTTTCAGATCTCATTTACTCATAGAAGTTACATGCACCATTTTGGTCCTACTAGATGCCAATGTGCAAATTTAAGGAAATAAACTTCGCTATTTTATTTGCATTCCTACTCAATTGAGTTTTACACTAACTTCAACTTACTAACTATAATTTAGGTGATTTTTAATAAATAATGTGTAGTTCAGTTATCTTAAATTTAGTTTCTTTTATTAGAGGGTTTGACCAAAATAAGTAATGACTCATTAACAGCCTCTAATAGTGCAATCCAGAACATAGAACTCTCCTTAGAAAGGAGCTTTTGGCCTACTATACCACCGTGGCCAGACAGATTGGTCAGGGTTTGTTTCAAGTTTGCCTTCTATTACATTTTTTTATTAAATTCGATTGAAGTATTTACGCGATACAAGTTTTAAACATCCATCCAATTCTAAACGTGATTATACATGTCGTAATATACTGTAGTAATTTCATCATGGCTATCTAATGTTTAAAATATGTTAATTAGAACTACGAGTACATACCTACTGACAAGACACAGGTCTAACTTACCTCGCAATGAGTAGTTATTATATTACAAATCCTGAGAACAGCATAATTTTGTCTTCTATTCTGCCAATGCATAGCAATTTCAAAGTCAGACACCCACCGCACTCCCCCCAGGATGTGGTCGTTTGTTACAGATACTGGCGGATCCATTGTAATGAAGGAAACAGTATTGGTCTCAATCAGGGCGGTCAAGTTCACAACGCGCAATAAAACAGTGGGATTTTGAGTGTTGACCTAGAAAGAACGTTCTTTTAATCTGATAAATTTGTTCTAAGTCTCTTCATGATGCTTTATGGTCAGCAGTTTCCGCTTCCGTTTCCAGTCTTTACTGGTATCTATCATAATCATAGTTAGCTAATCACCTAAAAATCTATCACAAAGAGGCAGCAACGATTAGATATCTATGGATAACGTATGGGTGTGATTTCCAGGATTACAAACATATAATGTTACCGGTTAGGGTAATGAAGATTTTCAGAGCAACTCAGTAGTACAGGTATTCCTTAAACTTTTTAAACACATTTTTGATAATTTACTCTTGCCTTATCGTATGGCTTGTACGTCAATAATGGACAACTCAGAAAGGAATATAACTATATCATTATTTTTTACCTTAGGATACTTAAGATCAACGAGTTCAGGATACAGATCATCAGGGTCACTCTTATCAACGTAGTAGTAGTAAGAGTATGTTCCCACTTCAGTGTCGTTAAAGGTCGCAAAGGCGAGATATGTACCCTGGGTCGAGAACCAAGTCGCTTGACCGGTATACATGACATCCTCTGTAACCGAATTTTATTTTAGGTAAATGGCTATGTAGTTATCCCTCGTAAACCTACTCATATAAACTTAAAAAAGTTAAAGATCACATTCGATATTCCATCGATGATTTCGTTTTTTAGTAACAGGCTTACGTTTGAAGACTCATTAGTGCCCACAGTAGTTTCCATAACTGCCAATTCTGTTTTTTAAAGCAGACCTATGTTTTTTCTTCGGTACATTGTTTGCAAGTTCTATTTAAGCCGTCTCAGTCGTGAGAGTGACACAGAGTTATTTTGATTATTTTTGTGACGTAGTTACATTTTTTTAATTTTTTTTATGGCATAGGAGGGAAAACGAGCACACGGTTCACCTTATGATGAGTAACTACCGCCGCCCATGGAAACCTGTAACTGAAGAGTCACAAGTCATTGCCGCCCTTTGAGTCTCCTCAGGTAAAAGGAGCGAAGGAATTGTTTAACACTGGTTTTCTGTAATGCCGGGGTATCACTAGAGACAAAGGCGCGGCCCATTGGTGTGGAAGCATGACTCTCCCACGGTAAAATTATTTATTAATTTCTTAGTTATTTCAATGAATTAGTAAAAAAGTTTTATTAATCAAATTGCGATTTTACCTTCATAGACCCAATCAGTGTGTCCATTATAAATTTCACCAGGAATCCCATCATTTGTTATCCGTAAAGATTCGCTCTGCCCTTCCGGCAGATAATATAAGTCGTTTTCTAATACATAGGCCAAAGCGTGACCGCCCCCGAATATGCATAACTGTAATCGATTGTTGTCGGCTACACTCGTTACAGTACTAAAACCAATGAGTTTTTATAATGATTACATTTCAAAATAACAAACTGATCAGTTTAGAAGAAAATCAAAGTTATTTAAGACCAAACGTAGATAGGAAATCTAACTAACTTTTTTATTTTCACATAAGCAGTCTTTACAACTTCTAAATCCTAATAACGCAAGGAAACTTTAGTACTTAAGGAAAATCCATTATCATTAAGGGCTAAATATTAATTGTTGAAAAAGATAACTACGTATGTACATACTTATCTTCGATGTGATATAAGGCGAATTGGGCAGTAGTTGAATATCTGTAGACCTGAAAATAAAATTAATTTAAATTAAGTCCACTAACAAATTTATGGACCATAAAATATAAGCAATAAATAAATACTTATCTATGTATATATTTTATTAGACTGTAATAAATATGAAGATAAGTAACAGTTAGGTAAATACTTTATCCAGTTATTATTTACTTTAACAAACACGCATGGTTACGTCGGAGACTTACCCGCTGCACTTCGCTTGAGGCCAATATGAATTCTCCATCAGGAGATAGAACGGGATTACTAGTATTCAGACGTTCCTGCAATATTTAATATTAAGATAATTTCTTTTGGTAGGTCAGGTATAGAACAGGTGGAAGGTAAATCCGATCCAAAAATTGTGAAATAAAAGTAGTCTTAGATGGCAATAACTGGCTTAAAAATATTAGTGGTAAAGTTTAATAGGTTAATAACCTCATCAGCAGCCTCTACTAGTCCACTGCTGGACATAGGCCTCTTCTTAGAAAGGATGTTTTTGCCTACTATACCACGCTGGCCAGACGGATTTGGGTTTGTTTCAAGTTTGCCTTATCTTTGCAGTACTGTTGTCCTGCGTAGTTTGCTCCCTTAGTCGGCTCTTACGACAAACACGGGATGAATAGGGGAGGTGACACTCTGTATTCTTAATCCGTCACCGCACATTAATAACCTACCCAGATAAATCTTTAACCTAAGTATATAAAGAGTTCAATCAAGATGAAGTAATTTACTCGAAGAGATTCTGATGGGAAAACATCAATTGAAAAATACCGATGTCATAGTTACAGCTTTACTTACCAACAGCGCAGCTTCCACTAAAACCTCGTCAGTCAGATTAGATACGTCGAACACATGAATACCAGGTTCTCCAGCCTTTCTAAACGTAAACTGTGTATCTAAAATATAACAAATTGCATTACACACGGATTTGAGCTTATGGTTTTTTTACCAAGCTCTTCGCTTTATAGAAATTTAATATAATACTATAGTCAGACTGTACAAGTAATATTTAAACATCTGGCGGTTCTTAGGTTGTAGCCAAGCCCCGCATTATTGCCTGTAACCTTAATGTTAAAAAGGAAATGCTAGGAACAGTAATGGCTGTAATGTTATTTTAGTATAAAAAAGTGGATGTTGGTGACTGATTCAAAATACTTAGGTAATTCAGTAAACTAAAATAGGAAAACTATAATTAAGTACTTTTTCATTTTGGACTTTTGTTACAGTTAATAAATGTTCGAGATGTGTTGTTTTTTTTTACGAATAGACAAATTCGTAGCACGAACTTTGAACCTTAGCTAGTAAATCTTATTAGCTACAGTAATTTTTAGAAATTTTCCTTTTATTATTGACTTTAGTATAGACTTTATTCCACAAACGTGAAGCTTTCTTTTTATCATCAGTGACAACTGAGAAACACGGCTATCATAAATCTAATCAAGATTTCAATACTCAAAAAGCTAAAATGTTACTTGAAGTGATTTAAGTGAGATTTAAGTGGGCAAAAACTCAAACCAAAGAAACTCAAAAAAAACCTTCTGGATTTTTAAACACCTTTAAAAATCCAGAAGGAAATCACGTTTGAGTAGGTATAATTTGAGCGAAGTTATGTGATTTCCAATGCTGAATGCTAAATGCTATAATATGTCAATATTAATTTTTAAAAATGAGTAAATATATAAGATAAGAAACAGTTGCCGGTGCGAGTCGGAATAGATTTCCTATTACTTTTTAGAATAAAGATAATTTTAATTTTAAAAAATATGGAAAAATTACTTCTCTAAAGATAGTTCTAATGATAGATGATAGTCATGGTTGAAATTCGACTAATGACTATTTCTAGTAGATAGTATTATTATAGCCAAATATTTTATTAAGTTAATAATCCACGGTATTGCTGTTCGTTTTTAACTCCCCTATGAGCAAACTATAACTTCTCTACTAGAAGTATTTATGTAAGTTTTTTTAAATGAAGAAGTATACTCGTATATATCATATATACTTTTTTTAAGCTTACCTGAGATCCAAGTGCCATTAAATCCTCGCTGGCTATATGCTCCAGACAAGAACTCTGGGAGCGTGAAGGGGTCACCTTGGGATCCAGCACTTAAAGGAACAGCAGTGGCACTTGCTACTACTGCTGCCAATATGTACCACCACGACAATCCCTTGTAGAAAATAAAAACATCGCCGAAATTTTATACGTTAAAACTTATTTTAATAACTTGATAAAAATAATAAGAGATTTTGGTTTAACGTTACTCCTTGCCAAGATTTCTTGTACAAAAAATTCCAACTTTCGAATGGGTAGTTATTGCATTAAAATACGTATATTTTACTTACCATGTCGGTTTATTTTTAAGAACCTAGTGGCTGGCGACTATGGTCCGCCAACCCGACTAATGTAAAATTATCATACTTATAAAATTATCGTCTTATCCGTTTGATAACTAGATATCAGGTGATATGAACAATTTACGACATTCTTTTGATATGTTTTATTATATCGATGGTAATAAATATATACTTATTTGATAAAAATAATAGATTTTCCAAAAGATAACCCATGCCATACTTTCCATGGCCAATAGGCTACATAAGACTTTAAACCCCAAATTTTGTGCATAGAAAAGTGCTTGTAGAAATAAATACGATTTTTTCTAAAACTATCATTCTTCGACCTGAACAGGAATGGCATCACGTTGTGGAATTAGAAATATGTATTCCTCCCATTAAAGACGTCCACTGCTGGACACATGCTTCCCCCAAGGTTCACATCAACAACCGGTCCACTGCGGCCCGCTTCCAACGGCTTCCCGCAACGTTCACCAGCAGTAAACGGGTTGCGGCTGAGATGATGATGATTTCTTCCCGGCACAGTGCCTAGAGTGTGCACACCCTGTGAACAGGGCGCATACCCTGGAAGGGTGCGAAATAATCAAACCTGCGTAAAACGGCGGTACACCTGTACCTGCCAGAAGTTTTCCAAAAGGTTGTTCAGTCCAGCGAACATTGATTCAGTTGATAAGATGTATGATGCTTGCTTAAGATCATAGTAGTAAAAAAATATTTACTCTCACTGAATGTTGACCGGTTATTTAAGTACTTAATCCATTGCATCTTAACTAATCTATACTAATATTATAAAGCTGAAGAGTTTGTTTGTTTGTTTGTTTGAACGCGCTAATCTCAGCAACTGCTGGTCCGATTTGAAAAATTCTTTCAGTGTTAGATAGCCCATTTATCGAGGAAGGCTATAGGCTATATATCATCACGCTAAGAGCAATAGGAGCGGAGCACCAATGAAGAATGTTTCAAAAACGGAGAAAATTTATTACTATTTAGAGACGCAGACGAAGTTGCGCGGGTCAGCTAGTGTTTAATACAAATGTGAGTTCGTTTGTTACACTTTCATGCCTTAACTACTCGATCTTCAGGAAATTTTGTACAACAAATCAAGCGTTTCGAAAAGGCTCATCGACAAAGAAAGAAAGGAACCTTCGAGGGAGACCCTGAATTCAGTCACATCAATCATCACAGTCATAATGATGCAAACAGATGATTGCCTTTAATGGGATAAGCAAATGAAGACCGTCGAATAGGGTCATGCGTCTTATTTGTGCCTTCAAATCACTTAGAGAAGGCACCTGCCTTAACACTTTAAAAATGGTATATTATGCGCTGTTTCAATCTTTCATTGGATACTGCATGGGGCGGTGCTAACAAGTCACAATACACTTAGAGTGGAGAGGACACAAAGGGCTGTCCTCAAGGTTATGACAACGAAGTCGTATAGATATCCAACATCTCAACTATATGGAGACTGCAACGTACTCACGGTACGACAGCTATTAGTGCTTCAGACCATTGTAAGGAAACATAGTAGGTAGTCTCTCCCCACCAAACCCTGGAAAACGTGGAATGTGCCGTCGGGTGTTCAACATAAAACTTCTTTCGCGAAAGACCATTATAATGTATTAATCTTATATATTTATAAACAAATACAAAGAAAACTTAACATTGTAGACCTAAATGAGCACAATGTAAAGCTGAAACTTACAAAGCGGCTACTAAACCTGGACTACTCCTGTACTGAATTATTATTTATTTATCTCTAGGTTTTCGCACGCACACACAACGCTTGACCATATTACATATTCCCCCAGCATTTCAAAATTAAATTCATGCAACTGAAAGCTTACTACCAAAACAACACGACTCCTAATTGTATTAATGTATAGCCCAACACTACCTCTTAAGATACAGGTTTATTCCTAGTTGTTTAAGAGGGGGGTCTTTTAATTACTGTGCATAGATGAAAATAAAAAATAACTTATCTATTTTACCTCATTGTATTGGAATGTACCTAATTTTGTAAGGTATATTTTTTATCCATGCATTTTTTTTTAATAAATTATTATTACTTATTATACACAGGTAGGGTGAAACAGCTTTGCCGCCACTTGTGTAAATTTCCTTTTTCAATAGTCCGTGTTGCACACGTCTCAAGTATTATTAAGATTGTAATAATATGATGGATATAGGTAATAATTACACACACTGCTGTCTGATTCCAAATTTGTCAGACCCTGTGCATGGTAATCACACTGCGAAAACACATTTCTAAATACCTACATATCATAAATAAATTACACCCAGACACAGAACAAATGATCATGCTCATTGCACAATTATTTGTTCAAGAATGGGAATTAAACCCACTACCTCTGGCGTAACAGAAAGGGTTATTAACCACTACTAACATGTCATTCAGTGTGACCTTAGGGCCCGTCCGCAAAGCGATATTTCACCGCAAGGTTTTTATTCGCCAAAATAAATAAATAAAATAAATCGCCATCGTATCACGTTCAAATTGCAACAAATCACATTATTTTTGTCGCGCGTTTTTTTTAAGTCAGTACGAATAGTTCTATATAGATCCTGTCACAGAATTTTGTGACAAAAAAGTATGGCCCTAAGTATGGCATGTGTTTATGGATCTTCGCATATCGCCCTTAAGGAAATGTACCTAACGGCATATGTGTAGTACATAGAAATAAAAAGTATGTAAATAATGCCATACTAAACCGTTTCGTTGTCAAATAAATTATCTGATGTGCCTACACATTATATCACTTTTACTTGGTCACGAGCGAAAGAAGTAATTTAAAACGGCAGTGTACATTCATTAAGAAGATCCGTTCGCCCTTTCTACTTCCACTTTCTGTTGCCGGTCCTTCGGAGATCAACGAGCCGTAGACAAATTATAAATGCGTGCTCCCCATTCTGCCTCCACTATTTTTTGTTGCCGTTTTTTCGGAGATCACCAAGCCGTAGACAAGATATAAATGCGAGCTCATTGGAAATAAGTATTTCGATCAAACAATTATTATTTTCGAAAGGACGAAAATAATAAATAATGAGATTACCCTCTACAGAGGGGTGCTTAAGCACACAATCATCTAATATCTATTAGGTTAAAACTACCTAATTCAGGAGTTAGTCTATGTGCGACCGTCCATTTCTTTTTAAAAGAAATTACTAGTACTCCCATTAACCCCTCCTGCTAAGCTAAATTGCTTGTGTTAGGAGTGGGTTCACGTCGGTAGTGTACTGGTCAGGATTTGAACCTACGACCCCTTGATCGTCCAATGCCATAACCACTAGGCTACCGCCGCTTCTAAAACTTCGGTAATTTAATAAAACCATAACATAATTAATTTTAGAAAGTATTTATTCAACATCAAATGAACCGGAAATACTTCGGACAAAACATAAACATTACGATGACCTAAATTGCAAAAGACTTCGCGCTACATGTCTATCTCTATCTATTTGTTGACGTGACTGCTTGCTAAATCGCCCATCTATGTCCATTACTGAACAAAAGATCACTGGTGAGCCATTCATTATTTGATGATATCATTTTATCACGTGTTCCATTCCATAATCGCTCTGTTTAATTTAATGATTCAGTATAAATTTCCGTTAACTATCTTCCATGATGTAGAATGTATTTTGGTATTCCGAACTTAGATGTCAGAGACTGCTGGCCGAGCCGTTGTCAAAATACGGTTCGTTACTGTACGACAATGACAGGATACAGTGTAGACGTTGGACTTAGTTCGTCACATCCACGCAGAGTCAAGTGGAATCGAAGTAAATCGTTGTACATCCGTTTTCCACGGCGGAGTCCAGCTAATGTCCCCTGCTCGTTTGAACGAGTGACTGCATAACTCCAACGACGGATTAAATTCATAGGCTTTCCTCCAAGCGTGCCTTTCTATAACATTTCGTATAAAATAAATTCATGTCCATATCCTTATTAATGTGCCAAAATTATTTCGCCATTAAACCTAAATCTCAATATGACTAACATTAACAAAATTATACTTCGATAAAGCAAAACTAAAATCTTTGTCACTGATGACAATGGCTACCTGAAAAAGAACGTCGTCTGTGCGACAAAAAAATTAATATGCGATGAGTTAATGATCTCAGTGCATGAAATGGGTTTGTGTATATGAGTGTCTGTATGATAGTTTGTGTTTTTGTGAATGTTATGTTGAGTAGTGTGTGTGTGTATAAGTATGTAATGGCGGATGATGTGTTTGAGACGGACCATGCTAGTGACGACGATGCGTTCGACGCAGCTCCTGCAATCGCCGCTCGTGTTCGGCCATATGCTGGCGGCGCTGTTCCTCCTTTATTGCTATCTGTAAAAAGTAATAAGCTGGAGTATGATAATCACTTAAAAAAAAAAAAGTGAGTGCCTACAAGGCCACAATAAAAATTGAAATCATACATTACCGTTTCAGCTGAGAGCGGTAACCAATATATGCAAGGAGTCGTCTTTGTTTTTCGGAATAAATCATCCAACAGCTTGGCTGGTGCCTCTTCCTCTTTTTTCTTAAATTTACGGGCTATAAAATAAGGTAATATAAATTATTAATATCATTAAAGTTTCAAACAACCACGCGCTACCTTAACCTATAGAGATTTCGTTACACTGGGATGTGGAGGATGTGTATGAAACTTCATACACATCCTTCCGATTCCAAGACTAAGGATCCAAATATTCTTTGGATATAGCAAGTCTTAGAATTGTGAAATGGATCATAATGAACAGTTATTGCTTCGAAGGCAGGCTGTTTCTGTTTGCTATTGAATTTCGCATCGTGTATCACTATCATTATTTTTTGGCATAACTTATGACAAGATATAAAACCAGACGTTAATGCTGCTGAATCTCTTCAACTATTAATAAGAAATTACCTGGTTCAGGACTTTTCTCTAGTGAGCGATGTCGCCTTTTTTCCATAGGCCGGTCGTCTCGTCGCAGTTTGTCTTTTTCCTTGTCCTTATCATTCTTCCCAAGATCCCATTCGCGGGTCGTCTTCCTTTCCCATGGCTTCTCCTACAATAAAATTTGTAACAAAGGCATATTAACATAAAATAAACACAAAAGTAAATAATATTTCTATAATTTGTGAATAAGAATAGCTCCCACACTAACGAAGTTACTCTTTTTGAGTGCAACATCACTCAACAATAAGCAAGTGAATTATATGCTGTTAGTGTTAGTGTTTTCTTTTCAGTAGTTTTCGAGAAGTTTTGATTAGAAAGATAAAATGATATACCTGCAAAGGTTGTGAAAGCAGTGTAAACCCAAGATTACCAACTCTTACATCATTATTCAACAAAGTGTTACAAAGACTATACCTCATTAATGAACATCGACCATTATTCTGATGCATTATAAAGATAACAAATAACATAAACATTACAAACATATCATATCAAATAACATCACTAAGACTATAACAGAATAACCAAGAAACTGGTTGAGGACTGAGACAACAAGTCAGGATACTTACGTAATTTAAAAACTCTTGGAAAAAAGATCATTAATCTAACCAAAAATAAATGACCAGACCAGAAAGTCATAAAGATACGAGTAACACGTCGCACTAGTCACTGGGAATTGCAAGAGAAATATATTTATTTAATTAAAACTTGGCCAAATAACCTTACCTTTGGGCTAAAATTAAATTTAATTGATGGGAATATTAGAAACAAAAGATGGAAAAAGCCCATGGTCCAGATAAAATAACAAGCGAACTCATAAGAGGGACTAAAGATCAAGACCAATACTAACAAAGGTCTTAATGAGAGTCTATATACCTGCAGCATTCCCAGCCTATAGGCAGAATCCTACAAAAAACTCCTACGCAAGAAAGGTCTAATAGAAGACAGGAAATTATAGACCCATTTCTCACATCTCAAATGCATATAAAGTTTTCGCTAAAGTGATTCTGGTCAGAATATCACTCATATTCGAAGAAAATCAACCTGTGAAACAGGCAGGGTTCAGTGAAGGCTTTAGTACAATTGATCATACATATGCAGTCTAACAGCTCATAGAAAAATGCAATGAATACTACAACAAAACCATTTACCTAGCCTTTACAGATTATTCCAAGGCTTTCGATAGCCTTAAACATGAATCTGTATTGCAGTCTAAAGAGCGGGGATTCAAAACGCATACATTAATATCATTAAAAATATTTAAAGTGAAAGAAAAGCTAGAATCTACAGGAGATGTTTTTCAACTCTCACCTAAGCTGTTTACAAAAGTGCTTGAACGAATGTTCAGAAACCTGGAATGGGACATCTGGGGCTAAACATAAACAGAGCATGATTGAACCATCTGAGATTTGCAGACAACCTGGTTATATTGGAATAGGACCCATGATACAAACCCTAGTAGACAGAAGTAGAGAACTAGCGCTAGAAATTAACCAAACCAATGATAAAAAGTCAATACCTATAGACATAACCATAAGCAGACAGTAACTCGAATATGTAGAGGAATATGTGCATTGTGGCCAGATAATAACGCCAAATGACCAAATGTCCAAAGAAATAGACAAAAGAATTGCAACTAGTTGGGAAAAGTATTGGGCATTGAAGAAAAACATGAAAAGCAAGGAACTAGGCATGAAGATCAAGAAGACTTTTGATACTTGTATCCTACCCTGCATTATACACGGCTGTGAGACATGAAACGAAACGGTTTCGTCAAAGCCCTTGCTAGTTTGTCCCAATGGCGTTTCGTCGAAACGCCAACAACGACTTACAAGTGTTTGATGTACAATGACAAGAAGTCTTCCAACTATCAGTAATGATAGATATCAAGTGTTGATTACTATATCTTAAATGAATTGATTTTTTAAATGTTCAGTGCGAGCAGTGGTTACTTTCTGAAATTTTGTTAAAATAAGTACAGTAATAAAACTCATTTTTACAAAAAGAGGTTGTGTGGCTTTCATTTCCTAGCTACTTATATCCAGGAAATTCTTTCTAATCAAAGAGTTTGTAGGTATATAGTGGAAGAGTTTCAAAAGAAGATCCAACATTCTGTGTTGGTAACTATTTTCTAAAACAGAATTATTTTTGTTTATTGGCAACCAGGTCTTCATAAAAGAGAAATAATTCCATTTTGAAAACTGAATTCTAAAGGCTGTGACCATGACCAGTGCAACTACATTTACACACCATCTATTACATGATATATAGTCCCCATTTTTTTCAAAATTCCCATAATAAATAATTATGATACAATCACAGGAACAAAAAGATTCTTCTACCTGTTCTGTAACAGGTAGTAGACTTGACTACATCAATAGCAAGAGATAAGAAAGTAATCAAAGAGGTTAAGGGAGGCCTTTGTCTTTAAAAGAAATATGGTAAGAACTAACAGTCCTGTCTGTATGCTAATTTATAATTATTGTTCCAATAATATTAATTAATTAATATAAAATCCTGCCAAAAAAAAAAACTAAATACACCCCATGCAATAAGTTAGACCAAACCAGTAGCTAAACAAAATTTACAGTAGCAAAGGTCAACAAATAACAATATACTACAAAATATCTCTCTCAAAACAATGTGCATATTTCATATAAGTAGCAATTATATCCATCTACTAAATGTTTACATTTGTTTAAATTTTCTTATTAATTATCAGTCTATCTATCGCCACTATCTACTTCACATACAAATTTCTGAGTTTAATTAACTTATAAACATAGTACATTATAGGATGAAATATATGAACATTTCTTTTGTGATAAATGTTTCATTTTCTAATATCGTCAATTACTTAGCTTGCTTGCTAATTTACTTCTAAACTACAGTTTACTAGTGAACTAGCATTGTCAGTTTAATTAATTTGTATTAATTACACATATATGTGCTTACCAATTCCCCTCTTTCCCGTTTCATATCTTGTTCCCTCAGCCAGTCTTCTACAGTGCCAGGAATAGTTGAAACTGGGGCTGAATCTGTCTCCTCATTTAATTTAGCCTTCTCAAAAGCTTCTGCTGTAGAAAAATCTACTTGCAATGTCTTTGGGTTGGAAACAGGCCATGTGACCCCATGTAATGCATGTCTTGTTTCAACAGCTTGGCTGAAAAAACAAATGGTAATTTTGACAACTTAGAAGATAAATAGCTATGTTTATATGGTTCTCATCTTTAAATATGTTATATGTCTACAATTTAAAGAAAATATAAATACTAAAAAAAATACTTACTCTTCAGTCTCATATTGGACAAAGCATTTAGATTTTATTCTGTCTATCCAAAAACCATTATCAACAATTCTGCCAGTCCTTTGCAACAAGTTCTTCAACTGTGGCAATGTAAATGGTCTGACCAAATTGGTGATGTACAATATACAAGACTGTTTGTTTCTGGGTGGGCTTGGAGGCCTTGCTATAATACTATCACTATCTTTGATTATTGAAATTTTTCTATGCGAAGCCAAATCCCTAGACTTTGAATGGTCCTTTTCTTCATGTTCTTTCTTCAATTCTACATTATCAGTATTATCTATCACAATTTTAGGCAATATAGGCCTGTCAACTTTTTCTTTGACCTCTCTTTCACCTTTGTGTTTTTTTTCTTCAATGACTTCATCAAACTCTACCGGTTTGACATCAGGTATAATATCTTTCAAAACATCCGTAGAAATCGTGATTGACTTTTGTGTAGTAACCTTAGAGCTTCTAGATCCCCATCTTCGCTTTCTACCAATAACATGACCAGGCTGCCCATTAGGAACTAGTTCTTGTGTAGACTGCAAGGAATCGCTACGCTGTAAAACTCTTGTTTCATGTGGCCTAGATTCAACTCCTTTTTTAAGGTTTTCTTTTTCCGATGAAGTTGAGGGTTTCCTTTCTTTTATTCTTTTAGAATGAGTGTCAGAACTTTCTACAACATCATTTTTATTAATAGTCTTACTGTTTTCAGTATCAATTGTCTTAGAGTTCTTATTGTCAGTTTCTTCATTTTTACTTACCTTTTGGTCATCTGATGAGTGTTCTTTGGCTGGTTCTTCCTGAGGTGTCTTAGCATCCTCCTTGTGGTCTTCCTTTGTTTGAAACACCTCATTATCAGAAGATTCACATTTACTATCTTCAGCATGCAGCTCCAATACTTCAGACTTCTCAACGGATCCACCTCTTTCCTGTTCTGGAGACTTTTGCTCGGCATTATCTGTCTTTGTCAGAGTTCTTTCATTACTGTCAATTACTTCTAATTGAGTGTCCGAATTAGGTTTAATAGGGTCAACCGGGGATGCAACTTTGGTATCCATTTTAGGTGAAACAACAGTAGTATCAGCATCTAAAACCATTGCCTGTGATTCACAATCCTTTTCCTGTGATCTATTGCTCTTTTCTTGTGATCCTTTGCCCTTTTCTTGTGATTCATTGTCCTTATCTTCTTCTACTTTATCATTTGATTCTTTTGGTTCCTGCACCTTATCACCACACTCTGAAACATTAGCTTCTTCATTCTGCTTGACTTCCTCAGTAGTTGTAGACATGGGAGTCTCTTTAGTACAGGAATCTTGAGGGGACTCACTTTGAGAAATTTCATTATGAGAAGTCTGTTGGGCTTTCTCGGTATGTTCCTCTGATTCAGCTTCCTGTTCATCTTCATGACTGTCAGTGTTCCTTTCAGTGTCGTCTTTATCACGAGCGCTTCGTTTAGCACGATGTTTAGGTTTCTTTTTCTCCTCCACACCTTCTACACTAGGTGTGTCGCTAGAACTAGTTGCCCGGGAATGTTTTCTCTTACTGCGCGGCGATCTATCCGCCCTCTCTGGTGTAGATGGAGGTCTTGTCAAACATATTTTCAACTTCTGTATTTCGCCGACATCGCCGGAACCTTCGGCAGTTTTAACTTGCCACACCTGATCCTGGGCGTCTTCAGTACTGTCTCCTGTGACGGGTGTTTGCGGTGGGATTTTTTCAACTTCTACGACTTTTTCTACTTCACGAACCGGACTCCCTTCATCAGGTGAATCATTCTCTGAAGAACTACTTTGTTTCTTACGTCTGGCCTTCGTGCGTTTAGGTTTTTCTACTTTCTTTTCAGGAGAAGCCTTCGTTTTTTTATTAGCGGTGCGCTCACTTTTACGACGCATTGTTATCTACCTGAAAACACTAAGAAGCACTTGATTTATAGTGTCTACCAACAAGAAATACAATAAAGAAATTGAACGTGTTTTATTTATTTTCAATAGCCAAAATAACTTCAATCAACGTGCTCAAAGACAGAAGCCAATTGCAACCGCCATATTTGTTAGAGTTGCTATAGCAAAACATTTAAAATTAAAACAATCAAACCAATGTTGACACTTTATATTCAGCAAATACTAAACCAACAAAAATATTGCAAATCTGAGGTTAAATGCTTTTAAAATAGTCATGTGCTGAGGTCCAATCGTTTTAAAGAGAGTCAACCTCTGTATGAGACAGAATAAGCTATAAAGTTGTCTAAAACTTTATTTTGGCATTCTGAAGGTTTTTTAAAAGTCTCATAAAATCTCATTTCCGTATCTTAAGATATTTAAGGTCAAAACTCGTTTTTATTTTACAAATATCTTGTAGCCCCTTTTGTATGTTTAAACTTTTAGACTTCTTTGATTCTAGATCCAGAAAAACATGTAACTGCATCTACTAGGCAAGTCAAGTACGATAATCGAATAACTATCTTACGAGTAGGGTGATGAATAATTTACTTTATAGAAAGGCAACAAAAAAAAATGAAAACAATACGTTTTATTATAGGTTTATTAGGCATGAAAACTTATTTTAATAATTTTTTAATATTGAGTTTCTTATTAAGTTGTATTTTTGATATTCTAGAACAACGAAAGGTATGATGTAAGATGAAATAAAATTCACCATGTCTTTATTACGTCTGTGCACACTGTTCCCATTACTCTGCTTCTGCTGGCTGTACTTATTGTATATCTGTGCTATTAGGTTCTTCCGAAATGATACTTATACTTATGTACTGTCAAATGTAAAGGAATATGAAATCTCCTCGGGGTTGCTTTATATTCTTGTGAAATGTGTAATAAAGTTAAGAGCTGAAAATGTTAGGGTATGATTACTTCTATATTATTTGTAATACATTTGCTCCTCATGTTGGTACTCTTTAATAGAATATTCATGTAGCACCTTTTGTTTCAGATACTATGGGCCTTTTATGTCATTCCTATGTATCGGCACACTATTTACCCTTATTTAGAAGTGAAGCAGTGCATGTAGGATGCTAATAATTAATATTTAGTAGAGATTTATGTGATACAAACATGGGTAACCAAAACAGTTGCTGTTGTTACCGCAGTCCGTCGCCGATCAGAAAGGACATTGTCAAGTTAGAAGATTATCTGCCCGAGGGTGAAGTAAGCTCTAATAATATACAGCACATCAGCGAGAGAGAAGGAGATGATGGGGACATCGATCCTTCCCAAGACCCTATTGCTGGAACCATTTTTATGGAGCGTTCTAAAGCTTCTATAGAAAATGGTATGACACGAAAACGTAGCCAACACCAAATCGCTGATAATAAGCTCAAAAAAAGCAGTTCCTGTTCAACTATTTATTTAGATGATAGCACAGTGTCCCAACCAAATCTGAAAAATACTGTTAAATGTGTGGCACTAGCTATCTATTATCACATAAAGAACAGAACATCTGAGCGGAGGCTAGATATTTTTGATGAAAAACTTCACCCTCTGAGTAAAGAAGGAGTTAGTGATGATTATGACAAGTATAACCCTGAACACAAACAGATTTATAAGTTTGTGAGGACATTGTTCAATGCAGCTCAACTAACAGCTGAATGTGCTATCATTACTTTGGTGTATTTGGAGCGCCTCCTAATATGTGCTGAGTTAGACATTGCTCCTTCAAATTGGAAGAGAATAGTTTTGGGAGCAATTTTGTTGGCCAGCAAAGTGTGGGATGATCAAGCTGTATGGAATGTAGATTACTGTCAAATTCTGAAAGACATCACAGTGGAAGATATGAATGAGTTAGAGAGGCAGTTTTTAGAAATGTTACAATTTAATATTAATGTACCATCAAGTGTGTATGCGAAATATTATTTTGATCTACGCACACTTGCCGAGGCTAATGACTTGGCTTTCCCCAGCGAACCTTTAAGTAAAGAGAGAGCACAAAAACTAGAGGCAATGTCTAGAGTTATGGAGGATAAAATTACCGCAGAGGTGGTTAAAAATGGCATAAAGAAATGGTCTAGTTTAGACAATGTTAATTCAGGTGCTGGTGTAAGACGAAGTGTAGCCATATTGTCATAATTCATTAGTCATGACCCAAAATTCAGATCCGAAATCAAAAATTTACAGATAATATTCGTGTATTTTATAAGAATGTATTGTATTTAGAATTTTTGCACCTGATTGAATGTAATATACTTTTTTTATCATTTGATTTCTGTGCTTCAGTATGTAACTGTTAAAAATAGACTTCTACTGCCATTTTTTGCCTTGAGGACACAAGAATAATCTAATTAATCATATTTAGGATTTCACTTTTGACCACACTAGGTGCCAAATATTTGTACACATGTCGGACCTCATGTGGTGATTTGACATAAAATTACAGTGCCCTAAATGGATTTTAAGTTAGAAGTAGTCTGGTATGCAATACCTTTTTAAACATTTACCAATGTTAGTTAAACAAAAAGTATTGCTCATTTGCAAGGTTGGTATATTATTTAAAAAATTGAGTACTACTTCTTTTAGGTACTGTAATATCATACAAAATGTTCATCTATCCCATCCAATCAGGGTCACACATTTGCATTGTTCACCCATGTTATGAGTTCTCAATATCTCCCAGGTGTATTTCTTCCATAATGTGTTAATAATGCATTGAGATTATCAATTTGTCTACAAGTGATGAAGCAATTATACTAAGAGAAATAAAAATTGTAGGTTATAGATGTGCTTTAATAATATAGCTGACTATGTGCTCTTCTTGCAAATGAACAATATGATGTATTTATTTTGTACATTTACAATTGCTTTGTATTGGCAGTGCATTAATTTATAATTTTACTGCTATATAGTGGATATTCACTAAGTTATAATGTCCCAAGATAATTATTAAAGGTAATCTCGGTTCTCTGTTTGAGAATTTCCACTTGGGGGATGCTCATTAATGTTTAGTAATTATTAAAGTCATAAAAATAAAAGACTTGTTGGTGGTCCAAACATATGGTATTTTTTTTTTATTAATGCTTATTGTTACATTTAGTATGCTACAATCCTTGATTGACTTTTAATATATTTTAACTTTATACATATTTTGTTTAAACATAAAGCACTAATGTTAGGTTTGCTTTATAAACTATGCTACTTAGAATAAAATAAGATATACTAGTATGTGCATCTGCATTTTGACTGAATTAAGGATCTTGTGATTGTGGTATGAATGTATTAGACAACTGCTGTTTTATTTTGTATGAGTTTACATTGTCTATACTGCATTTAAAATTCTGAGCTAGTTATTAATTCAAATTGTTATTTTGTATAACATATTATACAACTATTGATTGTGACAGAACAGGCATAGCAGCAATTATTTTAATTTAAATGATAAATTTTTGTATTACAATTAAATATTTAATTTAATGATTCATAATTATTTAAATTGTGAATGGCGATTGAATTATACAATACAATCCAAATATGTATCTTTAATGTGATTAAGCAGAAATAAACATTTTATATGAGACTTTTAAAAGGCTTTTAATTATTTCCAATTACATATTTTTTGTAGTCAGGATTTACTCAAAACATTCTAAAAACATTTTTTATTTACAAAGGTTTTAAATCTTTTAAGTATTCACTATAATTTTCAAACATATCAACTACTTCACTTCTCTTATTAGTTTGGTCATCATACTCTGCTCCAACTGACCATAACGTCTCCAAATCATATTGTTTTCGTGTTTTTTCTGAGAACACATGCAATGCAATATTACCTGAAATCAGAAAAATTATAACTATGCTGTAATGCTTTTTTGTTATATTATTTATAGCTTAGTAACTTACTTAGTGTGGAAAGGTTTAAAGATTTCAAAAACAAGCAAACACAATTTTGCTTTGAGCATTTATAAAACAGAAATTGATAAAATAATATTGAGACCTGACTAGCTAATACTGTATCAATTAATAATATTTAAAAAATAAGTAACTTCATATTTATAAAATTCATGAATTAAAAACTGTTTCAAAATATGCTATTAAAAAATTCATTTTAACAAATTTGTTTGTAAAATGTCTAATAAGAGTTTGTTGCTTAGTACTAACTATTTAATTCTACCAAAATCTTACCCAAATCCAGTGCCATCCATTCATCTGATTCTTTGCCTTCTATTCTAGGTATTGGGTCAGATTTTAAACACTTCTTTTTATAAACTCTTTTCACAAACTCAGCTATGGCTAAAATATGTCTCTTGCTTCGGCCACTAACTATACAAATGTAATCAACATAGCGAATATCTTGTGGTACGGTGACTACGAATACATCTTTTGAGTTCTCTCTGTGTAGTAAATCCACAAGGTCCTCAATTTCAAATACACCATTGATGCCTCCTAAAAATTGAAATTATTAAGAAGCGATTAGGATGCCATTAGGATTACATAATACTTTCAGGTTATCTGTATGGTACTGTTTGGTATGGTCACACTGGCCACTTACTTTCAAGGTTGATACCATCAAATTCATCACTGAGAATAGGATATTTGTTTATGGGGATTGTCTCTTCGTCAGCAGTGTTCTCAATAACAGGTGAGTTTGTATCTGTAATCACTTGGTATTTGCTGGCTATACCTGGTGAGGTACTGTTTACCTTCGATGTATATCTAGGATTCCTTAAGCAAACTCCGCAGTGTATTTGTCTCTTGATATCACCAAACTTATCTTTAGTTCGTATAAATGAATTTCTTGGACGCTGAGTCAGCGTTCTAAATAAAGCTCTTCGTAACATTTTATTTTTAAATACCAAATCTTTAAAGCAAATAGAATCAATTATTCTACAAAACAAACGTTTTTAACAACATAACCTAGAGATTAATGGTCATTTCATTTGTCAATCTGTTAACAGTTCGAAAACTAAAATTTGTACCGCGTAAGTTCATTGAAGATTAAAGTTAAAAATGTGTTATACTACGTTTTTAACTTCGATTTAAACTATCTCTGATTAAATATATTCACTTCAGTTTTAAATACTTAATTTTAAAAATTTATTTAATAAATATGAAGTAGCAACTCTAAAATCGCCTTCTCATTATTTTCATACGGGATACGTGTAGTATACCCTTTATTACACCCCAGGGTTTAGCAGTCTCTGACCAGTATATAGTTATCTGTGTTTAGCAGTCGTAACACGGTCGAACGCTTTTTCTATGTCGAGGAATACTGCAACTGTTTGTTCGCCATAATTGCTTCTTTAGGGAAACGTTTCATGCGCAGAATCCCACTTTATAGGTGTGCAACGCCTCTACTATCTTATGCGGCATACCTAAATTATATTAAATTATTCTTAACTGTTTTTTTCCTTTCCTTTTATGCGGGACTTGTTGGTCTAGTGGTTAGTGGTCTTGATTGTTGAACCAGCGGAATTGGCTCGATTCTCACCTAGGCCAAGTAATCATGTGATGAGCACGTTTAGAACTCTCCCGGCCCGCCAGGCCCGGGAACGGGCCAGGTACCGCAGGAGACTCAGGCGCCGGAGGTCGCAGAACGACCTCCGTCCTCCATAAGCGCAGGCCTGAGGGTGACAGGTGAGGCCATCTGTCACCCTAGCAGAAGCAGGCTGGGGTGGCGGCGAGCGCGTTGCGTAGCGCGCTCGCTTCCAGGGAGCAGAGGGATCATGGGGTTCCCACAGGGGGGGGGTCGTCTACTCGTCTGTAGATGGCCCGAGGTATGTCGGGGCACCAGGGACTTCCTTCCTAGGGTATAGGCTAGGGTATTTACGATAAACTCTGGTACCTAGAATAAGATTCAACTTGTGTTTAGGGTACCAGCGATCTCGCACTCACTATAAACATACGTCGCTAATACTTGTTAGACAAACACAGAGTGAATCTAGAAACAAACTACAAAACTAATTGACAAATAAGAAAAATATATAAATGGAAGAATAAACAAACAAATAAATAAAATAATATCAACAGCTACATTATATAGCTACATTTTTTTGTCATCACTATGTCTACTTTAGGTGATATGTGCGTGTACGTGTGTGCACGCGCGCGCGCGCTTGTGTGTGTGTGTGTGTGTGTGTGTGTATGTATGGGTTAGTTGTGTTTACATATTATAGTGATTGTACATATCGGTAAGTGTTATGTGCTTGGTATGCCCATATCCGCAGGAAACATATAAATATTAGCATAAGTGCAAAGTCTTAGGATCCACATAGTATCAAATCCTATGTCGCTCAATAATCACTCAGACACGGTGGCTTTACAATTATTACGACAACGAACGACCTTTATACTCTTACTTATGAAGAAGATTTTGAAAAAGTGTGAAGCGAGTGTGTGAAGTTGAAGAAGAGAACTTTATAAAGATGTTAAAATTTAATAACTCTAAAACGAAACTAAAGCTGATTTCAATATCAGAACCCTCTGCACAAAATTCATGTGTTAGTATTAAACTACCGAGACATTTAACGTTTCCGACATATACATACAGTAAGATGATGTCACTCGTCATCTTTCATCATCATCATCATCAGCCTATCGCAGTCCACATATGCCTAAAAACTGTTTTTTTAGTACATACTCGATGAGTGCACTGATTCTGCAGCCGGATCTCGTACTATTAGATCGATTTCGGGCTTCCATCGTCTTCTTTACATAGTATAAAATAAATTCGATTTTTTTTGTAGTACGCTTAGATCTTTTAAACTAAGCAACGGATTTTAATGCGGTTTCACCGCGGGAGAGTGATTCAAGATAAAGGTTTATATGTATAATACATTCATTTTATAGTAGAAAAATCTGATAATATCAAAGATTTGTCAATAAACATGTTTTTGTGCGCTTACATTGCAAACCCAGGCTAATCCTTTCGAGACAGACCAAAATAATGTACCTACTGCGGAATTGAATAAATTAATAAGATCTACAAAAATGTCCGAGATGATATATGTCTATCTCCTAGGGATAACCTACAGTAACCATTTTTATCTTTTCAAAAAAGTAATGGGTTATTTACGAAGCTATTTAAAAAAAATACATTATCGTTCTTTATTAAATGAAATATGTTAGATACGTTGTGCATTTGATCTAGATTAAAATTACTCTTTCCAGCATATCATTAAAATGTTTAGTTTAGAAGATATTAGAGGTTTTAAAATGCGGGTGCAAAGCTTACGTCGGCGCTTCTAAACCGTAGGTACCTACGACCGTCGCGGGTGGCAGCGGCCGGCGGGATCGGAGCGGGCCTATAAATATTGCATATAAAGATGTCCTGTAGTATAGTCCTATTATAATAATAGTATAATTAATTAGACCACATTGTTAGTATTAGTAGTATCTACATTGCACCCGTGCGAAGCCGGGGCAGATCGCTAGTAAAATATAAAATACTGCTATCTGTTAAAGTTATCAAGTTCAGCAGTCGTAACACTTTATGGATGTTGCCGGCTCTAATGGCCTCCGAACTAGCATTTGGTGTTGAGCTATTTTATTCAATCGACAGGCCATAAACCAGGCTATAAACTGCCATTTGTAAACATTTTGGTCAAATCACAGTTTTTGGTCACTGGTGGGTACTAAAACAATCTAATCCTTACATTGCTTTTTTCAAGAAAAGCACACTAACTATTATACTAAAACTATCTACATCTAATAATTGTACCGGATTCCATGTAAGGGGTTATGACTTTTGAACCGTTTAAGCTAGCATCTCGATCATATAGGTCCATTGAATGGAGTGCTGCGTCTTGTTTTCCAATAACGAAAGGAAATTAGTAATTATAATCGTAATTTATTTGCTCTCCTTTTTATATATTAATTATTTAATATATATTAAAATTACATAAGTATCATGACTGTCTTAATAAGTGAAAAGCGGCATGTATCGTTTCTTTGTAGTTCGTATGCAACAGAAGACATTTTCAGCTGTCCGACTCTGAATTTACTTCCACTTTACATATGAAAACTACTTATACGTCCTTCCTTTTACAGCTAAGACTTAAAATATATGCGGTTTATTGATATTTATTAGCTGTAGTTAACTACAAGTAAATTTGCCTTGGCCACATTTAGGCTTTTTATACCAAGTTAACACTCTGATGTGGGTCATTGTGTACCTATTTAATAAAGGTGTTTAGGTCTGAATAAGATAGTTAGGTTTTGTTACGTTACTAAAAAAGAAAACAAAGTATACTGACCTACATTGCGCACAATGTAGGTCAGTATACTTGGTTTTTTTACAGCGAAAAATCAAAATAGGTACACAATCATAGTATACCTGTTTTAAAACTATGTCATTGAGTTATCTGACTCAACCATGCTATCTTATCTGCTTTATCAATGGGCGTATGAAGTATTAGCAAAACACATTATTGTACAATTGTTGAAAACAAAGTGCCAGCATTTCTTTTTTTGCTGAGAATTAGTGTTTCCCTTGTGTTTTCTTAGGCTGTGATGTGATAGTGAAATGTATGAGTACTTAGACAATGTTCTGGGTATAATGGTTAAAGATAATAGATAAAGGTGATTAGCAAACAATGGTGGCTTGTGAGTTAGACAAGGAGGTAGCGGGCGATGTGATGGGATGGAAGCTGCCGGTATGGCAGGCTCTTTTTCTACACCGAGTATGTCCGGCAGTCGGTGGTTTGCTGGTGTACCTTATATTGATATGCTTTGACTTGGCCCTCATTGTTACACATTTTAGAAAAGGCGATGAAGCGTAAGTACTGCAATATCGAGAGCGCAATGTAACTGTCCAGCTAGCACAATTAGTCATAAAATTAGAAGAGAAGAAAATTTAATTTCGGTAATACCATTCAATTTTGTTTTGTAAATTCTTAAGTGGCAATGGATAGTACTTCACAGACAGTACTCTAATCAAATGTTGCTCTTACGCCTTATATTGAAATATTTAATAAATAGACACAGGTACTATCTAAATTATACTACTTATTTATTTTGGTAAAATTTTCTGTTAGAGTTTAAGCCTGGTACACAAAAAACCTTGTAGTTAGCGTCACTGGTATGTATATCTAAACCATTAGAAAAAGCACCGGTTTGAATTTTAAAATACAAACTTGACGAAATCTCTGTTTACAGGCTAGGAGTATTCTGCAGCATTCTCGTGACCCTTCCCGCAGTGATAGCATTCGTGTTTACATTGGCTTCACCACCACCAAGTCTTCAAACGGATCTTTCAGCGTATTCTGTCTCGGTACAAAAGAAAGATTTACGTTGGCTTGGTATCCAGTTCCTCAATGCTATCTTCTTTCCAATAGTTGCCATCGGGAGGTATGAACAAAATATTTATTTGTTTATGCTACAAATACATTATATAAGACGATTTTTATCTCGTAAATATCATATGTATACAAATGTAAAGGTTATAGGAATTGCTAATATAATTGAGGTTATACCACAATTAAGTCAATGTATATAATATAACCTAAATGTTAATCAATGCGCGATTACTGTTCGTATCTTAAAATTCTACAACACTGCGACAATAGCCAATAAGAAATGATCGACTATATAGTAGATATAGTAAACATTGTCTGATTTGGTATAAATACGATCCAACCAATAGATCAAAGAACACATAAGAGAATAAAATCTCAATAGAATTCCACGTGGTAACTAGTTTCTAGTCACAAGTCCTAAACAGTCCTAAGCAATCTTAAACACTACACGAGTTAGTACATTGTCATTATATGTAAAACTGTGTGTATAATATGTTTGGTTTTCTCTTGTGTTTTATACAAGCTTCATCCCCCTACAATATAATTATATTACAATAATGTAGGTGGCCGAAATGATAGAACTTTTGATTGGATGTGTCATGCAATATACGTCTTTTGGGAGTACTTCACTCGGATAGCACCGTGGTGATGTCTGTGTGGACCTTTTAGAAAGAAGTTTAGTTTAATTAAAAGAACAAAAAATGACGTTTGATCACTAGTTAATACTAACAGGATAATTTGTTTTTCCATAGATACTGCTTTCTAATTTTCTGGTGGGTGGAAGCTGTTTACGCATCACGGGCCAAAGATGAAGATCGAACACGAGAAGCTATATTAAAAGCTCGATCATCATCACCCATGGAATTATATTTATTTTTGCAGTCCTTCATTCACGCAGCACCACATGCTATTGTGAATATTCTAGATTTATTGGCACGGTTTACAGATCTTAGTTTCGACCAAGGTATAGATGTTTTTAAAGTAAAAGATAGGTTTACTATCTTAAGTTATTAAATATTCCAGTACAGTAAGATAAAATTACCAATTATAGAGTGAGATGATTATAATATTATTAATACTACTACTAAGTTGTAACACAGCCTTGGCAACAAGAAAATCATTGTATTTTGTTTAGAAGTTTAAGCACTAATAGATACGCCTAAACAGACCGCGTGGTGACGGATTAAGAATACAGAGTGTCACCACCCCTATTCATCCCGTGGGTGTCGTAAGAAGCGACTAAGGGAAAAAAACTAGGCAGGACAACAGCACTGCAGAGAGAAGGAAAACTTGACACAAACCCTATACCAACCCGTCTGGCCAGCGTGGTATAGTATAGGCCAAAACCTCCTTTCTGAGGAGAGGCCTATGTCCAGCAGTGGACTATTAAAGGCTGTTGATGATGATGATGAAACAGTGTAACAGGCACCGTTGAGGCGACCTTAACAAACATTTGGTTGCATTTCATAAACTCAGATCAAAGACGTTTTAATCATATAAATAATATTTTTGTCAAGTGTATAAGTTACAGGTTTTTTTGGTAAATAGACCACTAAAAGCATTTTAATACATCGACATCAATTGATCTGAAAGGTTGTAGCAAGAAAACACGATCGATGTACCTAGTATGGAATCCATAGCAAATTGTCATACACAAAACCTTTATTATTTTTAAATTAATAGTTTCTGAACCTACTGAATAATTTATTAAACAGTTTCAGTTCAATCTGTGAGCATCATTGTATCGTGTCTTCGTATGGCGAGCACAGCTACAGTTTATAGAAGATTTGAAAGGGAAAAATTATGTGGTAGGAATTACCCTTGGAACAAAAAACTTATAACCAAAAACGAAGATAATGATGAAAGAGACGATAAAAAACCACACCAAGAAGAAGAACAGTTGTACGAATCCATCACGCAGAAAGACTCCATGCGCTCTTCTACTCCGTATAATAGTGAATTTCGCAACACGAACAGTGATTTGATCCAATTTTCTCCTCGGACCCCTATTGAGATGTCTTCATCCTTTTTCGATTACGATAGCGATTGTTCCGATTGTAGTTCGCATTATCTTCCACCTATTTCACCTGTTACACAAAGACGTGCCCCAACGTATGACAGTGATGATGAATATGTAAGACCATTAAGTATTATTGACAGAGTGGCGCCAAAAAGGCGAGATACAGGCTACATAATTGAAAAGGTTGAAATAGTACCTCCACCGGTAATGGTGGCCCCTCGACCTGGGTCGTTGGCTCTTTGGGCTGAAAAGATGGTGGAAAACGCTGAGTCAATTCCGGATTGGCTGTCAGCACCTCCTAGAAGAAAATATTGTGATGAAGTGATCGAAGATGAACCTGACGTTCCACATAGAGTGCCAAGAGCTTATATGCGTGGCCTTGAGCCTCAGGATCTAACAGCAGCAATCGTTCATTTTTTAGGTTGGTACGCATTCTTCATAGCCCGTTTGCTCTCTATAGCATGCCTTATAAGCATTTTCCCCGTTTTAGCGATCATTCTTCTTTTTTCACATTACCAAGTCATGTTGCTATTTCTCATAGTACCACAGGCTAAAACAGTAAAGAGGGCGTTCTACGTATTCCTCGCTTTCATATACCTATTTTGTTTGATGGAGTTCAAAATTCGTTTCCGACATGTGCGGGTTTGGCATGTATTCTGGGGTATAGTGTGCACTATAGAGATTATTGTGTTCTCTGGTTTGTGGGCCTCTATTGATACTAGCCTGCACAGTTGGTGGAAAGGATTTTTAGTGCATGTAATATTGGTTAGTATGGGTTTGAGTTTAATGTGCTTCCTTTGTTATTTTATTTTATTAAAACCTCGAGAAACGATTGTATATATTAAGAATAATAAAAATAGTTCCAAATAGAGACCAGTGTCATTAACCAATACCTTGCCCCGGCTTCATTTGCCTAAAACAAATTTTCCATCTCTTGGGTTACTGTTTTTTCTCCATAAAAGGTATCCTATATCCTCCTCTGTGACATTTCAATATGGTCGAATACAGGAACGGCACTACATAAAACGAAAAACAAATATAGATTTTGAAGTGAAACTTCTTTAGAATAGTTGTGCGTCACGATAAAAAACAAACACATAAATAGAATTAAGTCGGCGAGAGAATGAGTACACATTATTTTTAATATAATATTGTGACAGTGTGAATATTTTTATCTTTTCATTTAATACTAGCTGGTACCCGCAACTTCATTTGCGTGGAATTTGAAAAATGCTGTTTTAGTGGCTTCGATTCCCGGCTGGGCAAAATTTTATAGGGATTTACTGAGATAGAAAAAAAAACTGTACTTTCACTTCTGCCGTGTGTGACATGGTTGACCTATTGTGTTCCTCAAGCTAAGCTAAATATTTTTATAAGGAATGTGTTCTAGATGGCAATGTTCTAGGTGGGTTTGAAACCCGAAGTCACGTGCTATCAAGTGATAGTTACTGTGTTGCTACTGCATTATTAACTACGCCGATAGCAATTGCTCTACCTCCGCTTTACACCTTACACCCCTAAAGTTTTTATTATTTAGTCAATTAACCTACGTTTGTAGGTTCCCGTAGTTATAGCCGCTTCCTACTACGTCGAGTGTTGTGGGTTCAAACCCCACATGGGACGACACTTTGTGTGATCCACAAATTGTTGTTCTGAGTCTGGGTGTTCTTTGTGTCCGTTTAATGTATGTTTGTAAAGTCCCCCGCGACACAGGATATATTCCTAATGCGGGAGTTGTCTTTTCTAAAAAATAAAAAAAATAAAAAAATAGCAAAGAAATTTTATAGTTTTCGTTTGTTTGTTTGTTTTTATTTGTCAGTCCGTCCATCGCCGCGTCGGCGCCACTTCGAGACGAAAAACAATTTTTTAAGGTGCCTTTCCTACACGTAAAGTAGGTATGAATGTGTTTTCTCGGCTCGCACTACTTGCATAGCTCGTATAGTATAGGGTATCGTTGCATAAGTCCTGCAAACACATTTGACACATTAGTAATCCAATTGCAAAAAAAAACTGTGTGTCAAGTATCCCAGATTTGATTCTAACACAAAATGTCTTAAGTTAAAGTGACTTAGAAAATTTATATAAATTCAAATTGTAGTATGTACCATGAATTAAGAAAGAAAACAACACCGGTTAGTTGACTCTGTTAGTATAAACAGAGCTTAACTTTTGTTAACAGTAATAGTCGTGCAACTTATAAAATCTACCTCATTAGGAAAATTACGTATAAAATACAAAATTTCAAATACTTGGTTGTTACTTGTATAAGTATGTTTGTATCTCCAGATATGTTTATCAGCAGTGTGGTGACCAGAGTACAGGCTCTGTCTATTTAGGGTTCAGACCTTGTGTGAGATTATTATTATTACTTCATAAAAAAAGGTAAATAGTAAAGTACGGAACTCGTTTCCTTAAACGCATTTTATGGATTCATAACCCAACCGGAAATAAAAAAGATTTCTGAATCACTGGGAGTGTCAGTCGTTTACATCCGTGTTCATTCTCAAAGCGTAAACATTTTTAAGAATTGATTATTTAGTTAGAATTATACTGACTGTTTTTCATATGTTATTAAATTACATAAATTCGGATTTGCAGAAATAATAGGTAAGGGAATCGTAAATTACGTAACTACTTCCTCTTCTTCAGTAAACTATAATTATTTTCATTTTTGGGATAGTAGGAGAAATAGTTTATCATTTAAGTTCATCCAGTTCCAGTTCCTCAATGCTATCTTCTTTCATAATTTAAATTTCTTGTTCATAATTAAAATATATAAAAAGTAACAAAGATTTATTGATATATCTGTACCTAATAAATGACCTACTTAGAATTGCTTACTTGTATTTATAACATGTTCCTTTAAAGTCAAAACATTAGATATTATTGTTCAATTAGTATAAATGCTACCTATTTAGCTTACGCTACGGCTCTGCCCTTGTAAATGTTATTTTATATCTGTAATCAAAATAATTATAAATCAATGGAAATTGTACTTTTACCCTTTGTCATTTTTGTAACCTTTATCAACGTGTATGCAAAATTTCACAATGACCGGTTGAGTAGTTAGGTCATAATGCGTACCAAACAAACCAATAAACAAATTCACTTTAGTGATAAAATACTAATAATAAATACTAGTTAGGATGATAATTACAGATGGGACTACTAAGATGAGAACTAAGTACAGATTGGAAGCAGCAACGACTTATTATTATCGCCTAATTAGACACAGTTGTTGTTTAATTATGCGATATAGTATACTGACTGTTTATGAGTAATAAGTAGGTAACGTAAAATAAAAATAAAGGAATAAAGGGCCCTTTAAATCTGTCGTTCAAAAAATAACACGTAGGTGATCTTTAGATATCTTTACTATGGATACTGTCCAACTGCTTGGAAACGAAAATAAACCATCGAAGAAAAACACATGTGTTCCAGAATTGAAAAGTAGATTTTCAAGGAAACGTCATCAACATGCGGTAGGTTTTAACCTATTCTTCTTCGGCACTGATATAACGTAGAGGTTCTTTACAAGCAAAGCACCGATATCAATAAACAAAACATTGGTTTCTAATACTTCAAAGAGCATTGCTACGCTTCAAGTTGTTATTGAAGCATTCCTTCTGGCCGTAACAGCTGCATTTTTTTCTCTTGATATTTTACTTATTTATGTTGATTATAACAATTCATTTTTGGTATCTGGTTATTTGTTTTCTAGTTGTACGTTATAAATTATTATCAGAATTATCATCGGAATCACATTAGTAATAATTCAAGTGTTATTAGGGTCTCCTAGCGCCAATGACATGACCTTGGACGAGAAATAGTCAACCCACTGTTATGTTAACAGGCGTAAGGAACTTTATTATTATCATCTTAGAAATATTACATTCGCTTTGAGTTAAATTTAATAATATTTTGATACATATAACACAACGCTACCTAGATACAAAGTAAGTACCTACATAATCATAGCTTGGATTAAGTATGAGTTCTAGAACACGGATTAACTACTTAGTTGAAAACTATTGTTGAACATACATATTAAACTTAAAAATACTTTAATACAAGTAGACATATTTCTGCACAAAAATATTAACGCAACCCGCCTCAATAGAGTTGGAGTCTTACTTAAATAGATTAAAAGCTTTTTGTTTTGAACAAATAATATTCGTAGGATTTAAAATTCATTTTTTGATATCCGTTTTTAATGCGATAGACTTTGGAAATTAAGTAATAAGTATATGCGTTATAAATTATTTAAATCTTGAAGCCTTTATTGCGCTATTCAAGGGGCATATATAATTTTTAATAACGTGGTTTGGTGTGGTAACAAAAGGTCAGTAGCCTTGCCACATGATGCGGTCTGTATCATAACGCTTATGATATTTAAACAAGGACCCATTGATATTCGACAAGATGACTTACAAACTTTTTTTTGGATTCACAGTACCACTGATAAAATTACTACCATTATTTCTACACAAAAAGTGTCCCTCAAAAAAAAAGAAAGAAAAGTAATACGAAAATAATAAGGATAAATTTACGGTTTTCTTTTAAAGTTGATAAGATTAGATACTAGTAGGAAGATCATTAAATAATTATCAACGTAATGACTTTCTATTATTTAATGATAAAATGGTGGCAAAATCGAATACTTTATTAGACTTCGGTTTTTTCTAGAATGCGTCCCAATCTGTCAAAAGACGAATTAAATTTATTAGCTCTGTGAACTAGCAATTATTGGTATTCATCATTGGTACCTGTTGTTAATTTACTATCTATTAATTTTAATCGGAAAATAATCGTGTTTTCTGAATAAGAGAGAAAAAGATTTAAAAGATTTATTTATATAAACTAAACTTTTTTGTTGGTTAAGCAAGTCACATCTATGTGGTAACCACATCGTCATTACACCTTCGCTTGCAGCTTCGCTACCTTAACTTTAAAAAGACGTACATCTTTTCAACCTACCTCAAATAAAATAAACCATCACAGCTTTCCCATTGAAGATCTCAGTTTTTAGTATATATATATATACGAATCTACTCATGCTAGTAGGTATAGTATTTTAATATGTAGATCTAAGATGCCGACTTACAGAGAATGCAGTGATGCGATGTTGAAAAAGGGCCGCGGCGATCGCACGCGCAGTCTTGCGATTATTTTTTGCTAATTTACCATACATTACATGTCGATGGCCGGAGATGAGAGTACCGGAGAACTGTAATTACCGTACGGGAACAACACCATGTATTATAGAAAATGAACACATTCAACTTTCACGTTCATTGTTCATCTTCAAAGCATAGTTGGGTTGTTGAAATTAAATATATTCAAAGTTCAGATACACCCATTTGATAACTTAAGTTTGAATGGGTAATAAATTAGTAAGACGTAATGACTTTAGTTATTGAAAAAGTAACTAAAAAGTTAGTTTTTCCAGCGCTGTTGGCGCAACTAAGAGCCTGGTATGTCTTGTTCGTGTTCGAGGTGCACTAAAGTAGATATTTTCTAGCAATTCAGGACAATCAAGTCGATTTCGTACAATATCGTACAGAAAACATACATCTAGTATTCGCCGGCGCTCTTCTAATGTCAAAAGCTTATGTCCGCGACAACTGTCCACATAGGAGGAGTACCTTTGCTGAGTTTTGAAGTTAAGATGCATAATGATTTTTTTTTGTATTGAATCTGTACGATTAGTATATATATTATAACAAGGATTCCATATGGGACAAGCATATTCTAGTATGCTACGTACATATACAAAATTAACAACTTTTAGACTTAATGAGCATTGAAATGGTTTGCATGTCCTTAAGACAAAGCCTAAGTTACGGTAAGCCCTTTGTACTACCCTTTCAACTTATTAAATAAAACTTAAAACTTGTTTTTTAAACCTTAAAAACCATAAACTACGTGATAATGACAGAACTGACATGATTTCAAAACATTTTGATTCTGTTGTTTATGTACATTATTTGTTACTAATTTGTTACTTTTATTTTTTGTAGTAGGATACCTTTTTAATATTACTTTCATTTCCAAAAAATCAATGTTACATACATTTATTTATATCATAGTCGTCACGAGAAGTTGATACAGAGATCTATTTTGCTGTTTAATTAATGCGAACTTATTTTATAATTTCAGTGAAATGAGCGGATTTAAGTTTGTACAAATTGATGTATCTTATACAACATACAAAAAAAAGAACATTGATATTATTGTTGTGTGATGTACAAGTACGGCAAATATTCCTTAAAGTATATAATATGTAGGTACTCATATATTCGTTTGTGGTTATCATTTTAGATGTTTATTATTAATGACGTTTCTAAGGGCCCGTTGTTTGATCGGTAGTTAAACATACTAATAGTTAAAACGCGTTAGTTAAACTGACCATTTGTTAAAAATTACAAAATTGTGTTGTTTGATGAATAGTTAAGCTAACCATAGTTAAAAAAATTGACCATTTGTTATAAAAGTTAACTATGCGTTTTTGACTAGTTAAC